ACGGACTCTGGCGAGGAAGCACTCGCTGATTACACCAAGCTGTCGTTCATCCATGCCTTTCCGCCAGTTGCATGCGGTGCTGCCCCGCGCGCGCGCTGTGTTAGCCGGGCATGCGGCCGAAGAGACAATGGGAACACAAGACGAACCTGCCAACACCCGTCCCAGATTGCCGGTACGGTCACATCAGCTCCTCGCCCGCAAGACAGCTTATTCTCGCTAGGGCGGTACATGCTCCCCATATCCATATCCCGGCCTGGCCTCGCTTCTCTTGTGGACAGAAACACACATCCGGCCAAAGAGTCCAGACAGCCACAAGAATCAACAGACATGATCCTGCCACCAGATCAGAAACACGGCTATGCCACTCCACTCTGGGAGTTGCTTTCCGCTATGAGGCATTTCCCATCCATGTCTTTCAACCCCTCTTTGCCCGACGCGACTCACTCAACTCAACATCACGCTTTTTCCGATGCGGCTGCGCCCGCTGAGGTGCAGTCTGTGCCTCTTGAGTCTGGCGCAACTCTCGCTTCTCGCCATTGGCTCGCTCTGCAACTCTCACTCTGACTGGACAACCCGTCTCCGATGCCCATCTGCTTCTTGTGTGTCTGGGACAGATCACCTGCCGATTAGCATCACCACACTGGCGCCGGGGAGCTCTCTCGTGCGCCTCCGAGCTCCAGCTGCTGTGCTTAGTTGCAATTTGCGAGCTGCCAAACGGCTTCGAAGAGGTCAGAGCTTCCTGCGGCACACCATCTCCTTGCTGGTGCTGCCGCTGATGCTGGCTCTGCATGTGAGGTTAGCTTGGGGTAATCTGCACCCCTTCTGCAGGACAAGAACACCAGGCATGGGGATACCTGCAGCTGGCGGCCTCTTAATTGCGGACCTATCCTGCCTCCATTCACTTCTCCTACCATACCCAGCCGGCTTCGCGCGGCCTTTTCTTGGCTTCACAACCCCAACCTCGCAACCAATTGTAGACGGCGCTACTCACCGTCTGTCCGAAAGTCCCACGGCCGCAAGCGGTAATTCCACTGCTTTTCCTGCAACAGACAGGTGCGCCTGGAAGACTTGGCCCTGCCGGTGCCCCTGTCCACTCGGGGAAGTGAAAACCGGGGGAAGCGTCCGGAAGACATGGCGCCCAATTCCATCATCGACCGAAAGTCCGCCGGCCGCAACTCGCTCCATCTCGGGCCTAGGTGTGTGGGCGCGGGGGCGTTTGCAACGCAGACGTCGTAAACAGGATGGGCCGGTATTGGTGCCAAGAGCTTTTCGTTTTGTCGTTGCTCAATTCTATTACGCTACGCCGTTCCTTTCGCTGCTCTCCTGCCGTCTCTCGTCCCTCTCGTCGCCTCGCGTTTTCCTCTACCCGCTCAAGCCGCTCCACTTGCACGAAAGTCAGCAGGCATGCGTGCTTCGGATGTGGTGCGGTTTCATCGAAACCGTTCCTATTCATGCCGATATCTCTCCTGTGCGAGGGAAAACTCCCGGCTGTTTTGACGTCAGAGAATCAAGCGCGGTCTATCACCGCCGTTCTGTCCTCCGATCCTGGCCAAATTGGCGGTGATGCGATATCAAAACCTCCAGCCGCCTCACACCTCCAACGACCCTCGTGCGAACAAGCTCGCAGCTCAGTGGACCATTCTTTTCCCAGCAGTCTGGCGTGCTGGGGACACCAGAGCACCCTTCCGTATGCGGCTGCCCGCGGAACCACCAACCGAACCCTGGCGAAGACATGCTGGCAACGGCTAGATATCGACTCGAATTCCTTGGTCCAACGACACAAGAAGGGGAGAGTCCGTGAGCCCCTAGTCATGGCCTCTTTTTTTTTTCCGTTGGGAAACTGTTCTGCAGGATAGATCGTCCATCATTTGCGGATTGGTTCAAACGGTTCTCCACACGTGGCTGCCGCTGACCATTTGCAACCCGACCTCGCTGGTGCAACTTCGCGATGCACATACGGTGCCCCCATACCCCTACTTAGTGCCCGCAGCATCCCACGGGTACCTGACGTGTTCATCGGAACTCACTACTCAGCCCTACTACGATTATGTACAGCCCCGTATCCTCGTCCCTTTTTGCCAGTTCAGCATCTCGCCGAGGGAGTTCTTCGTTTAGGGTCTCGCCGCCTCTCAAGGGGTCTGTCTCTGCATAGACCGGGATGACGGAGCGGTGAAGCTGCACGCGGCTCTGAAAGTCGTTTCGGTTCGACAACGTCTGGCCGTCGTCTCTACTCGACGCGTCAACAAAATCTCTTTATTTCTGGTTCTGGGAGATCTCGGCCGCTGGCCGTCCTTGGCCTGCGTGCCCAGAAGTATCCTGCAGTCGTGTCTCAGGATGTCTGCGTCCGCTAGTCTCCCGGATGACGATCTTTGTTGTTTTTATATGCTAATGTACAGGTGACCGAGAGCTGACCAGTCGTCCTGTCACTTCTCACAGGCTGCTCACCGAAATAGGGACGGTCTTGTCCTCCGGCTCGGCCAAAGCTTAGCTGTCTTGAGTTAATCTCGCCCTTTTTTTTTTCTCACTTATCAGCTTCTTTGATATGTTGACGAGAGTAAACGTTGCAGACAGAATGCCACGTCTTACACACCTCTAAGCGAGCGTGCAGCCTGTCTGTTGGACGGATTGCAAACGAGGTTTGACTGGAGCGGAAGTGAGGTTGCTATCGCCGTTCAGATCCGATGAGTCCCATACCCCTCTCAGAATTGTATCTTCGCTCCGACCGTGCCAAGTGGTCGTAATCGGTATGTAGTATGCATCTTACCTCTCTCATGTGAGTCAGGTGATGGTAAGTGAAGCGGTTGATGCAGTTAAGTCTTTCAGTCCTGGCTAGTCGGACCGAGTATGGTAGAAACGTGATTGTACGTCTCCATTGGTTTTTGTTGTGTGTGCAGTTGTTCGTTTGGCGGCAACTACCCTTCGATTCCATTTCGTGTCATGAGTTTCCAGCCATGCTGGTCACCACCGTATCGTTGACCCTCCCGTCATCGTGTAGAGGATGATTATCAGGTTTTGATGGAAGCCAGCAAGACTGGCAGTAGCATCCCGTCCGCGAATAACATCATGACTGGCAACCCTCTCATTGCCGGCTTGATGACACCGCCAAGGCGATACCATCTCAAGACCTTCTTCATGAACCTTTTTGCAAAACAGACATCTATTCACAGTTATTGTCCGGGAAGGAGGCACGGACATCCATGACTTCCCTGAGCCACAGCCTCAACAGTTCGGCGTGCGGAGATCTCACGCGCAACAGGGGAAAGATACGATTCTCTAACCGCTCTGTTTGCTGTGTCTTCCGAGGACTGTAAAGGATCAGTTATTCGAGAATTTTGGACAAACACACAGGCAGATGACATTCCGGAGTCGGGTTCCGCTTTCTGGTTTGGCGGTCGGCGTTGCGATGTTACTCGAAGCACCGAGTACCGGAGCTCGTTACCTCAAGAAGCGTTGTCGAGATGGCTGTTCTCCTGCACCATTCATACGTAGGTAGTATCCTGGATATGAATACACCCGCGACGGTAGAAGTGAAGGCAGGCGATGTTTGATCCGGACTTGAATGAACCACGCTTCTATCTCCTCGACGCCAACCTTGCTCAGCGCAGGATCGTTCCGAGCATGATGCAGTCTCGACGACAACGAAATCACAATCGATGGCCCTCGTCGAGCATATATTTTGGCTATGACGGAGTGACCTCGGTGCTCAAGGTTATAAATAAGTCGGATACGGAGGCCCAGCCACGGGTTGGACTTGAGTGCAGATGAAGACGCGGACATATCTGGCGACTGTCGAATGTGTGTACAAAGTGGCTTGTCCTGTTGACAATATATAAGGAATGGGCGGTTGCCCAGAATAATTGTCCCAGCTAAAGTTCCTGGTTGCGTTTTGCTGTTCTCGCCTTTAACGGCTGAGAAGATTCGACTCCAGGCTCTACACAGCCAACTAGGCAGGCAGTTGTTCTTGGGGGAACATCAAATAAAAGCATAGTGAGATGGGGATCTCTTCGCGAGGGCTGGTTCTTGGGTATTCATTCTCGAATAACGACGCAGAGGGGACGAGGGGAGACACCGACGAGTGATGCGCCTGTGGAGGCTGACTGCGGCGCGATTGTTCTCACTCTTTATATGACACCCAGGTAGCCGGGAACACCGAAAAGCACTGCGATCGTATATGCGGCCGATTCGCTCCACGTCGATCTCCGTTTTATATTACCGGATCCCGAGGGAGAGGCAAGGGCGCGAGAATCCGTACTTAATTTGGGCGCCGGCTATGGAATGAATGAAATATAGTACTGAACTGTTCCGAGTCGGTCATTATCGCAACATCGTGGCGGGCATTCTGTATATAAACATCACTCAAGCGTGTTGTTTAGGAGGCTACAATTGAATGATTTGGCAATATCTGTTCAATGAAGGGACTGAGTCCGGCAAGGCTTTCGCGGTGGCAGCTGGAACAGCACAGAGTCAACGAGACCCTTGGGATCGGTGGCGAGTGTTAGACGAAGCGTTGCGTCGAGTCTGAGAGTCTGTTTATTCTGGTCACACGGATACTAAGATGAAAAAGACGGATGGGGATGCGGGATTATGAATGGGTTACTTGGGGCTGAGTAGACTCCGGTCTGGCACGGCGCAAGAGGATTCACTGTAAAATATTTCCTTGCTGGTGTTTCCGTCCGGTTCAGTTGAAGAAACACCGAATGTGCTTTGTATCTTTCAAAAGAAACGGGTTCAGGTTGTATATTCACCTCATGGAGGCGAATTCAACGAAGAGTTTGCAACTAACAGAAAGGTGGTGCTTGAGGTTTATCAGACACCAGAAGATGACATGCAAGACAGGTAGTTCAGATTAGTTGTAGAGAAACCCCTAAGCAAGCCAGGTCCTCTCTCTCGATACAGGTCCCCTTCGTGTTGTGATACTACAGTCCCTAAGACTTGTTGTCAGCGACATCATAGAGGACACTGCCGAAATGTCATTCTGTAGAAGAATATTGATGCCACAACTATCTTCGCGACCCTAACCCGATGCTATGTTTCGACACCATCTCTTCCGCAGATGAAAGCATGTTGTCAAATAACGCCTTCAACGCGGGTCCGGAGACATTGGCGGGCATGTCCCAGTACAAGTGCATCTTGCCCGCGCGCAGGTACTCGAGATCAGCACGCGACGACATGTTTGCAGGGTCTTTCATTATGCTTCGGTATAATACCGCAATTGCAGCCATGTAGTTGTTCAAATGGAAGCTGTCTCGCGTTAGAACTGGACGTACTGACGTTGAGTACTGCAGGGACGAACCTGAGGATGTGGGTATTTGCTTTGGTATAACCCACGCTACTGGAGTAAGAGTCAGCAACAGTTATCGGATTTGAAGTGAACGAAGCCTAACTTATTCAAGCTTTGTATGAAGGACCTGGAGGCACCAACACAAATAGTTTCGCTTCCTTGAAATCGAGAAGGTGGGGACTGCTCGGTGCTGCCATCAAGCGATGTCGTCATGACCGTGGCCGCCAGATGGATTGCGCGGAGGAAGTTGTAGTACTCCAGGTGAAGCATGAGAGCGTGACAGCGGAACGAATCTTGCGTCAATAGCATGCTGTCTGGGCGACAGGTGGGTGGTAAGCTCTCCTTCCATGCCGAAAGGCGGTTGTCTGCCTGTGCGATCCCGTCAATTCTCGAAACGATCGAATGCTTCGACTGCATCAAGCCACAGAATTGGATCTGTATCAAGCTCAACTGGTACCACCACACGAGATAGTCTGCAAGCTCGGAGGACTCGCCATCAGTCAAGGTAGATGTGTACTCGAGAGCCATGTTCTTCTCAAACATGCCGCTTGAAAGTCCGGGAGACCGGCCTTGGGAGAGTGACAAGCTACTGTGACGCAAATTTCAGGACGTCTACGTCAACCGGGCATTCAGGGTCGACTTACGCGTCGAAGCCTAGAATCAAGCACCAAAGACGGGAGCGAAGAGATATGCGAGACTTGGAGAAACCCATGTCTGGTGGGCTTCTTTGGTGTAGGCCCAGTGACTGTGCAATGCGAATCGCTAAGCCGCAATATGTCCACGCGATACCATGCCTCCCGAATTGAAGATGATGGACAATCTGGAAAATAAAGTAAGTCATCGACGTTGTTTCGAGAATCTGATGGTGGAAACCTACGTGGAGCATGAGAATCTGCAGGGAAGTCTCACACGGAGAGGCGAAGGCATCTGGCGTCATTGACCAGGCTTTACGATATGAGTCGGCCGCCAGCTTGTCTAGATTAGTTGTTATTTCAGATATTTGCTTTTCACTCAAAGCCCCTATCGTTAGAGTCAAAAGGAATAGTGAGTAATCGAGGACATCTAGCTGAGCCTTTCCGCTTGCATAAAACGATTCGCTCCGAGATATGAAGTATGCTTCGTCAAGTATCGGGATAAACTTGTTCACTGTGCGGAAGTATTCTATCTCTCGTTAGCTGAAGAGCTTTTTGATCAGGACCCTCCTTGGGTACCTTGAATGCAACGCATGGCCACGTCTTTTGGGGGCAACACTTCAGCGGAAGGGTGATGCAAGGGTGATAGACCGGCCTCTTCAACACGCGTGCCGGCCTCAACGAGGAAATCGAAACATGTAGGGTCAACAGAAAGCTTCTGGCTTTTTATACCGTCGGTCAGGCACATAGCCAATGTAGCGCCAGTGGAAGTTAAGCCTGCCCAACATAAGCAGTGCTCCTGCCATCCTCAGCTTTGACTAACCAATGTAGTTTCCCATTGTATTATTCTTACGAACAAACACCGAGGGAGGGGCGGTACGCTGCGTCGAAGCTGCATGATCATTTCCTCTAGTTAGAGACTCGATGTCGGAGACTTTGCCGTTGGCCAAGTTGGTTGTCGACGTAGAAGACGGTGATGTCTGGGCTGCCAATGAGGAAGTATTGTTTAGAGACTCGATGCGGAGAACTCCTGGTTGGATATTCAAGTCTGCAGCGACATTGAGGTTCGTCACCTCCGGGAATGGGCCTTCGCTGTTTCCTGAATGCGTGGGTGTAGTTGCGGATAAGTTTCCGGGATCCCAGAAGTTAGAAGACACGCTGACACCGAGCTGGCGTAACAGGTCGTCGAAATGTTGAGGCTCGTGTCCATTTTCGAGGTTGTCTTGCGACCAGGGTGACGCCAGTAATGTATTCTCGAAAGTAGAATTGGCGTCTTCGGTCGTCGCTTCCGCGGAAAGGGCCGCAGAACCGAATCCAACATCCACCCCAGAGTCTCTGTTGCTCGAGATGGACTCGGTAATGTGAGTGACACTATCAGCAGTGTCGACTTCAGGCTCGTTGGACTTTCGAGTATATCGAGAGGTAGCGCGTCGGCCACGGTCTGAAGAGGTGCATTGTGTATGATAGAGTTGGCAGTTGAGGCAGGGACGTTGATCAGGCGTGCATTTCAGCTGGCGAGAAGGAGGAGTCAGCCAGATTTATTTCGCGAAAATAGGCAGGGATTACGCACTCGTTTCTTTCGACAGTAATCACAGGCTCGAGATACACGCTTGGCTCGGTGAAATATACGCGATGGGCTCGAAATATTGGACATAATGAAGTAGATCGCAGCACAAGATCTGTTGGTTGAAACTGATAGAGGATGCACCCGTATTGATAATAGGGCCGATCAGGATTCCTACTTCACCTGGCTAACAAAGCGGTCGATCGGGATGCTAGTATCTGCCGAACTGCAATCCCGTACATCCAAGACGTCAAGGCGACGACGTCAATTAGGTTTGAGTGTGTGGACGTGACTGATCTTTCAGCAATGCTAAAGCTACATCGGATGAAGGGGCTTTTCGCAGTCTACCCGTCTCTCATCCTACCCGTCCCAGGCCAAACCTCGCACTCCAGCTCTTCTTCGCGGTCCGCCTCTAGGAAAAGCCTCCTAAGCTCTCGTCCATAGTCATTGCCATTCGGCAGTCTCTGGATCGTGTGGATGTGGTACTTGGCGGGCTCTTCATTATTCAAGAAAACTCCCGAATGATGATCGAACTCGAACAGTGCAACCGGGCTCTGAATCCGGTAATAAAAAGGATCTTCCGGTCCGAATCCTCCAATCCAGGAGAAGTAGGTTTCAGAAAGATATTCGCGAATCTGTTTGAGCCTGAACTGGAGAGGCTTCGCGGGCCACAGCGTCAGGAAGGCTGTGGCGATTGACATAAGTAATGCCTGTTGCTCCTCTGTCATATCGCTGGCTAAAACACCTTCGTATGGGATTACTCGGTTGTCTTGGAAAGCTCCTGCCAAATGCCTCTTCACGATAAGTTAGCTGAACGTCGGGCCAGAGGTGCAGGTCATCGCCAGAATCACTGACCTGATCGGCTGGATTCCACCGGCCCTCAGGCATAGCTGGATCACGCATTCTAGCATATACCTGGGCTTTCTGCTGCATTGAAACAGAGAGCGATCGCATCAGTAATAAGCCCAGCAGACTTTCGTTCGCACAGAGAGTAAGTCCCTTATCAGGACCACTGTCAATGATCTGATGAGCTGTCAGTCACAGCCTGTCTGCTAAAAAGCCATTCGCATTTACGCTGGGTTCGGCTCCGATGAAAACAGGGCCTATTGTCATCTGCTGTCCAGCGACAAAGACGTTCAACGCTAGATGGTGACCAAAGAGCATGTATGCCCAAGGCTCTGTTTCCGAGGGCTCCCCGAAGATCGAGAAACTGTAGAAAAGGCAAGTAAGCTAAAGGCTCAGGATGCCTGGGAACAACAACTCACAAGTAACTGTTCTCGTTCAAGATCGCTTCTCTGCCACAGATCTCTCCAAGAAACTTGTTGGTCTTCATGGCACCCTGGACCTTTAAGAAGCCTGCTTCGCTCAGAGACTGCCTCAGGAGCTCCATGATAGTGTCGATCTGGAAACCGGTCAAGGTCTCTAGACATAGGCCGCACTCGGACAACACCATTTCCGTATTGTGCCATTGTCTCCTGCAGAGAGTCAGCTCCTGATAGCGAAGTCCCAACCGGGATTCCGGAACCCACCAATCCTCAGAATCTATGTCTCGCATTACTTCATTCCGCTCTTTGGGAGTCAGAGATGTTATGACCTCCCGAGCTGCTGCCACCTTGATGGTGTTAGTAATTCTTCAGCGAGACTTAGTTGGGGACCTGGACCATCTTTTGCGTTGGCGCGCCTTCATCTTGCAGTCGATATAGTCCATTCCTTTTCTTGCTGTCATTCGTGATGCCGTAGAAAGGGGCGTCAAGATTCGCCCTCCACTTGCGCCAAAGCGGTCGAAAGACTGGACTGTTCACAATTGTCTCCGAATACTTGTAGGGGTCGTGGATGTCGATGCCTTCAAACCGTGACCAGTCTACAGCCATATTAGTTGGGAAGGAAGCATGGTCGAGCCGGTACTTTCTCTTATCGGGCACATAGCGGTGATAGTCATACGCGTGAGCGTCTTCCGGACTTGAAATCTTAACCATGTTGATAGTATGAAGTTTGACTTCTGCATGCAATAGATGTCTGGAAGTGCGGATGACCCAACTTGGCTGTTGAGTGAGCGTACGTTTGCCCGCACAACAGTAAGGTTCGAACCGTTCAATTTATGGGCGCTTCATTGGCCTAGTATCCGCGGAGAATCTGTGGTGTAGGGTAGCCAGAACGTCGGGCATTCATGTCTCCGACTTCCCCCGGAGTTCCGATGGTATTGCCTAGATGAAATCACATCTTTTGCGGGATAGGATCAACTTCTGATCATTCAGTCTCAAGAGACTTTGCGTAATATACAGATTACTTCAATATGGCTTCCAACGGGGGTAGTGATTTTGACTCCAAGTACACAAATGCCAACATGGCCCGGGACGCTACGTCTTATGATCCATCTCTTTTCCGAGATCTTGTCAAACAACTCGAGGAGGTTGACGACGGCAGAATCAAGGAAGCTGCGCCTGGAATCATTGTAAGAGAAACAAAACGTCTACAAGAACCCCGCTAAAATCGGTTCCAGGCAGCCATGCTCTGTGCCCAACATCGGGGAGATTCAGTACCTAAACTTTTCCGCGATCTTACCGGAGAGAAGAGCGCCGAAGAAACGAAAGCTCTGTTCGTGGTTTTCCGACAGGCCATCACTCTGATTTGGCCTTTTGTTGGCTTACCTCAGTGTATTCCCGCCAGCCTAGGTCTGGTTGGTGAGCTGCGGCAGCTTGGAATCAGCATCACGGACCAGATGGATCGGTAAGCACGTCAGGAAACTCTACTAAGTGAATCAGATGGAATTATTCAGAGATAACTTCCATACAGACCTCTTCTGAATGAGATAAATTGGCATGAGAAGGGCCTGGAGACGCGGAAAACGATCTATCGCACTGCGGCAAACTCTGAAGTCATGGACATGATGAGTGGCTTCTTTCCCGAGCTGAGTAAGTTGATTTTTTGTTATTGATCAGTTCTTCACGGAAACTTACACCCATGAAATAGCTTACGCTACTCACGCCGTTGTCTTTGGATTCATCATTGGCGGATCCGAGAAGACGCAGAGTCTTCCACTCTCCGAGATCACCATAGCAGGCGCTATCGCAGCGCTGGGAGCTACGAGACAGACCAGGACGCACTTCAAAGGTTCCATGGGCTTGGGGATTTCCGTAGCTACCGTTCAGGCTGTGCTGAGTTCCGCGGAAAGAGTGGCAGCATGGAATGGCAATAAGCTTCCCGGGGAGGTTGACGTTGCGGCGTTGGCGGAAGAGGTTGGGACGAATCTCGGGAGCTTGGACAATGCCTAGGCAGTCTATGCAAACATAAGCTTCCCCGGAAGTTTAGGGGTAGAATCCGGGGCAGGGGTGATAGCTGAAGATTTCGGTAGCAGCTTACCGATTCAAGAAATGAATCCCCGGACTCAATGTCTGTTGCGGGCAGCCATTCCATGTTCTCCGCCATCGATCATGAGCTCTCGGCAAGTAGTAGTGGGCCTTCGCCGAAACCCTAGGTTCGTGAAGTGTATTGAATGCTTTGAAATCGCGGGGCTTGGACTTGGAGAGTCAACCAAGTCCTGCAAAGGTTCTTTCAGTTCTCCTAGTTCACATGCCAGGGAGCTGATTGCCTGTGGCAGCCAATACAGTCACCAGGAAATGTGAGGAATATGAAGCCCACGCAATACTGAAGGTCAATTGATTTTCAGTCATTTATGAAGATGTAGTCTGCTCTACGATGAATGGATGGCTATGAGGCCATAGTTTGCTGGCGGTTTCCACCTCAACACAGAAAGCTACCTTTCTGTTCCCGCAAACTTCCCATCCGGCCCATTCAGTTGTGCGTCGAAGACCGCCGAACGACCTCCGAGTACAAATGTGACAGCTTTTTTCAATTGATCCCCTAGCTCGTCAGCTCTAGAAGCTCTGAAACTCCCGATTTCGCCGAACCCAGCAGCACGGGCGATACCCGCGTAGTCAGGGGCGGGTGTGAAGCTGATATTGAGTGCTTCTTTGGGAAGATTGAGGGCTGGCGCGTCTGGGCGAGTGTAAAGAAGCGAGTTCCTTGGGGCGTTCCAGCCATTATTGTTGAGAACAACCGTCAGCACGGGAATGTTGTACCGGGCAGCAATCCAGTAGACAGACGCCGGGAATGAGAATAGATATGAGCCATCGCCGACGATCTGACAAACGAACTTCTTCTCTCCGGTGAATTCGGTGGCGAGTTTGATTCCTAGAGCCTTTGGGCATGTAAGCTTCCACCCGCACGTCGTCTTGGGTTCAAGTTGCGTTCACTTACAGCACCGCCACTCCAGCCTAAGCCACCTCCGCCGCTGTTGAACCAAGAACCAGGCGACGTCAGCTGGAGTTGATCTGAAACTTCTTTCGTGTTTGTGACAGCTTCGACCACGAATATTGTATCCTCAGGTAAAGCTTTTCGCAGACAATTAACAAGGTAAGGTGCCTCGAAATAGCCTTCAGGGGTTGGCATGGCTCCAAGCGCGATGAGACTGAGACGTCCTTCGAAGGACTGGCGGAGCCTATCCCAGCGTTCAGAAAATCTTGCGGACTGCAGAGTAGGCTGGAGATGAGACATTTCTTGGATGCACTCGTTGATTTGAGTCAAGGCGGCGTATGCGTTCGCTTGGTATCGATGTTGAGCGTCGATGTAGAAGACAGGCATATTTTGCTTGAGGGGATCAACATCAACGTGGAAAACGACGGCATCTGTTCTTGGTTTGCACCGCATCGGTATCCAAGGGACGTCGCAATCAATAACCAAGATGACATCCGCGGTTCTGATGCTGTCATCCCCGGCGTAACCACAACCCAACCATGCTGGGTGGTTCGCTGAGATCGAAGTTTAGTCAAGCCCAAGCCAAAAGAAAGCTTGCCTACCTGGAAAGCACATTTCACTGCCTCCTGCGTCAAATACACGAAGGCCCTTGATGCTCGTGGCAAGTTTGACCAGCTCGCCGGGCACCCGCGTGTCTCTCCCACAGTACCCTGTGACCACGAGTGGCTCTTCCGCGTGGACGAGTGCCGTTGATATGGTTTCAACTGAGCTAGGATGAAGAGCAGCTGGTTCAACTGGGCTCCAGTATCGATTGCCGATGCTGTAAGGAGCCATCTCGGCTTCGAGTACTTCCCGGGCTGCGCACAAATAGACGGGGCCTTTCGGGTCACTGGTGGCAAAGCTCAACGCCCGATTGACCATTTGCTTCGTCGATGAGTTAAAGTTCTGTCTTCAATTGTGAGAAGTGGGATCGGCCTACTTTGATGTTCACTCCTGAGCGGATCTCCGCGGTGTATCTGCAGTACTGATCGATGACTGCGCGCTGGTTATGCACATCTTGCAACCATTGTATGTACTCAGTGCGAGATCCTTGAAGTTCCCCCTCAATTGTGAACGGGGAGAGTCCAGCAAAGATGAGAAGAGGCACCCGTCCTACGGAAGCATTGTGTACGGCACACCCAAGCGCTTGGGTGCCAACGTCAACATGCACGATGACTGCTTGAGGTTTTCCGGTCACGCGAGCAAAGCCATCAGCCATAGACATGGCTACCATCTATGTGGTCGAAATCGTCAGAGAGGCAATCAATGAGAGCGCAATTGAACTCACTTCACTGGGACAAGTAATAATAGTGGGGAAGTTGTCATTGCGACTCTTTTGGCCCTCCACGATGGCCTCAAGCATGCTGGGGTGATCGGAGCCGAAATTGCAGAAGCAGTGAGTGACTCCTGCGTCCATTAAGCTTTCGAAGAAGGCGAATGAAGCAGTATAGTGACGGGGAACATCTCGTTCCAAGCATTTGCTAGAGGCGGCCATGGTTTGCTCAAATTGCGTTGGAGATTCAGCGTTCATTGTGATAAAGGTAAGTTGAGGCACTCGTATATTTCCTCGAATGATAATGCGACTTCAGTTGCGTCTGACTTTGCACCTTAAGGTGTTCCGCGGAACATGGTGACATCATGCACACCAGCACAAGCTCAGCAGGGATGAAGCGACGAAACTCAGATTGATCAGTCAACCGTTCATAATCTAATTCAATTTCAAACATGTGCTCGCAGAAATTCCAGACCTTTCATCACAGCTTCGTACGCAGGGTCCCCGGGTTCCTTGCCCATATCGAATCCGTGACCGGCGCCGTCAACGACCAACAATTCCGTGTCCACCCCATGCTCCTTCAAAGCTTTATGCGCCCACTCAGCCAACTCCACGGATACAGATTCGTCCGCTCCTCCATGACCAAAGAACGTCGGTGGAAATGTCGATGAGAACAACGTAGTCGGGTCTACCCTTTCGTAGTCCCCATCTGGCACAAGCTCTTCAAGGAACGTGCCATCCTTCATCTTACCCAAGAGCCATGCACTACGAGGATTGGAAATGTCGGGACCCTTGGGTCCAAATGGCGGCGGGGATGCGCTCGGAGGCGGGATGTCTTGGTAGATCCTGTTCCTGAACTCGACGCTGGGAAGCTCGATCGGTGGGAGCTTTGCTGGAGTTCGGAAGGATGCGTCCCGTATGTATTTGAGACCAAACAAATCCAAAATGGCCTCGGGTGGCTTGGGCATTGAAGCCTTGGAGTAAGGTCAGATTCGGACCCAACGTCCCTTCGTAGGAAGTCAACGATTACTGGGCTCAAACATACCATGAGAAGAGCAAGTGTTCCACCAGCTGAATGACCCCAAGTGACTATTTTCTCACCATCCAGCTCGACACCAGCATCTTTGGCGAGCTTTCCCGGAAGCTCAGTTTGCGCCCATACGTACGCATCCCTAGAGTCCGTGATGGGCCCGTCGTAGGCGGAGATGGTCGGGGAGAGCCGGTAGTTTGGGGATACTACCGCCCCGAACCCGAGTTCGAGAAGCCTTCGTATGTAGCTGGGCTGAATCATGCCTTTATTCCCGACAACGAAATTTCCTCCGTGATAGTAAATTGCTGCATTGATGCGTTAGTTCCAAGTGTCCACGATAGCTTGAGGAAGTAAGACGTATACCGATCGGTTTCGACTTTTTCGAGCCATCTGCCTGGTAATGAACATCGGCCTCAATGGGGTCGCCATTGGGCACCTGCTTGTATACGTACGTCTTCGTCTGCATACTGTATTTGGAATAGTTCTTGTGATGTTTGGAGTCCGCGTGGAGTAGTATGACTGCCTTGGTTCGAGAGTGAGTATCTTGACGAGTTCTCGTCAGAAATGTTGGCATGAGATATCGCTTGGGAAGATATCGCACCTTGCGGGCGACTGATTCTACGCTTACTGGGTCCGGAATTCATAACCGTGTATCATTCTATGGAGCACGGGACTATCTCTCCGCGGAAGGCACGCCATCCGGGGTAGCCTGGCAGTCCATACGAGAACTTTATCATTTTCATCCTGCAAGACGCTTTTCCAACTCCGCTTGAAGACCGAATGGAGCGTCTCCAGGCTCTCTGTGGTTTCCGTCATTAGCGCACTCGTCGTGTCAGTTCACAAGCGAGATCTCAGTTAGTTGTGATAGGGTTGAGGATGGCTATCGCAGGCTGCAGCGGAACCACATTTCGACTAGTCAAGAAGAGCGCCATAACAGGAGGACGAGAATTTGGTTGGTTCATATTTGTTAACATTGGATCTGAAAGGTGACGATTTTCCATCAGAAAACATAACACGGTTCAACAGCACCCATGAAAGTCTGGCTTTTGGTGACCCAACAAACTCATTCTGGATTGACGCTCAATAAGCTACCAAACCGTGTATCTCACGATAGCCGCACGATCAATGTCCATTGGCACCATTAATGCCAACAACGCCATTCCCCCGATGAGAAAGAGAATGCTCCGGAACCGGAACAGGTCGGCCATCGATGTCAGCATCGTCGACCCAGTTCCCGTGAAACCCAGGCCTCAACCTGACAGGCAGCTTGACAAGCGCGAGGTGTTCCTCGAAGTTGCTGCAGTCTAGAATGACGAGCTCGCTGGTCATCTCGTCAAAGTTGCTGACCAGCGAGATCAGGAAGCCGTCACCCTCCGCCGCCTCAGAATGGCGAGGAACGAATTGCGGTTCTTGGAAGAAGTGACGATTGCCCCTGTGATACTTCTGCGTTCTGCCAGTCTCGATGTCATGTTTGTAGAGCGTGTTCATGTGTCCCAGTCCAGCTAGATAGTGTAAGCAGCTGGAATACAAACAAACTGGAATGACGTCGCAAACTCACCTCCTATCTTGGTCGCTGAATACTCCCAATCCGTCACCCCGGAAGCCATGTCCATGATCATGCCATATATGAAGCGGTTCTTCTGACCCATCACACGGTCATCAATGCGTGGGAACTCGTCTGGTTCTTGGACAAGCCGCTCAGACTCCTCATAGAACAGCTTATCGGACTTGGGATCAATAATGAACTCGGTGACGTATGGTTGAATACTGGGTTCGTCGAACGGAGGAGCCTTGCCATTCTTGTCGGGAAAGAAACCAAAGCCGTTACCTTTGGCTAGACTCGCTTGGAGATGGATCTTCCCATTCTCTTCGAAGGCGTTTGCCACATGTCCTGTGAACTGGTTCGGGCCCTCGAACCACTGAGGAATCGGTTAGTTGAGTAGTTTTCGAGAAGTTCTAGAACTTGCCTTGATGTCGGCCGATTTTGCACCTCGCCGGGGCAAGACTCCGATGTAGTGAGGTCGGTCCGTCCACGTCCAGTGGTTCCCACCCTCCTTCAACTTGTCCACGAAGCATTCCATCGGTACAAGTGGAAAGATCACCTAGTAGAAGTAAGCAAAAAGCTCTGAGATAACTCAGAAGATAACTCAGAAGAAGACGAACCCAATTGTCGGTGAAGGCCATCTCATGCTGGAAGCCGCAAAAAGGAGCCTGGAACCAGACTTTCTCGGTGAACTTTCCGTGTTCATCAATTGACATGTAGAAGACATCCCTGCTTCCTATTCCCTTGCCCTCGTACCCGAAAGCAAGTAGTTCTCTGGTGAGAACATCGTACTTGGGATGCGCCGTGAAGGTCTCGCTCTCCAACTGGCCGTCGAAGGTCCACTTGCCAATCGTCTCAAGCGTGCGAGGGTCGACCGCGTACGGTTGGCTGTCTTCTTTCAGGGCTAGAATCACACCTTTGAAAGGTAGAGCTGTCGTGTTGGCGGTTGTTCGATCCGCGAATTTGACCAAGTCCGTCCAGGGGTTGCGATATTTGCCTTGGTCTGCGTTAGAAGTCAAGCGTCCTACAGTCCACTTCGATTTACTCGACTTACCAATAAGGGCTCGATTCTCAATCTGCTCAACTCGGAATTTCTCCGTATGTACGAAGCGCTGTTTAAAATCGACCTTGCCATTCTTGATGCGGAAGGATGAGATCGCACCATCCCCGTTGAGCCACTTTCATCTTTGAGTCTACGGGTGACCATCGAGATAGGACAGTGCACTTACGATGTCGTTCTTCACCCAGGGTACGTGATAAGGCTCCGGCATGATTCGATAGAAGGTGCCTGAGATAGACGCCGGTATCTTACCGTATACCTCAAGATTTCGGACCTCGCCTTCATAGCGGGTAGGGCGGTTGAAGCCTGTTAAAGCAGGGCCTGCATCATCGAAGTTGGTATCGCATGGCGGCCAACTGGCTTTCTCCATACCCGGACCAGCCTTCGAAGGAAGATACTGCCAAAGGATATCCATAGTTGTCAGTTCAGCCTAAACAATGCTCGCAAGTTGTGATGCTGTCGGGTGTGACTGTCGTCCTTCAGTCGAAATAAGGCAAGTTTGACCAACCGGTCGTCGCATGTGAAAGGCCGTTGAGCTATTGTTTATTTTATGAATACCCGAGAAACCCGTATCATCTGGACTCTCAATAATCTGGAGAAGTACCGAAACGCGGGGAACGGATGATGAGGAGCCCGCGGAACGGGCCACGGAACGGGATTGATTGGACAGCCACGCATGCGGAAGTGCAATGAGCACGATTTCCTTATGCCACGGAAAGTGAAAACAGAAGTTGTTGCAGACCTCTGTGAATATTGGAGTTTGCTGGTTGTTAGACATGATCGGGCCATAAACCTAGTCGGCTTCGGGCACCTCCAGAATGCCGAAGTTGATGATTTAGTCGACAACCAACTTCTTGGAATCTTCAAAACATTATAATCGTTGATCTAAAATTACATAGTATACATTTTGCGAGAAAGACACTCTGAAAAGATACACAATGGCGTCTAAGATGATTATTCGAGGGTGTGACGTGCCGCTGTGCGACACAGTCAGACCGGAGAACACAGATAACTGCTTCCCGTACTCATTCAAGGGCAAAAAGAAGGAGTTACTGCCGAAAGGATGGCAGAAGACGCCTCGTAGTCGGCCTCTGCCGAGCGAAGTGATTTACGAAGTCAACGAGGAGATGAGACACTCTGATGGGGTCAAGGTTAGTATTGCTACCCTCTCGTAGCAGAAAGCTTTGCAGTGTGGTTTGGGAGTACACTGATACATAACAGATCTACTACGATGTCTGCCGCCCGAACACGTCCGAGAAGGTTCCGGCTTTGCTTGCCCTGAGCCCGTATGGCAAGGGAGGTCACGGGTTTCTCAACTATGAACTGCTCCCGTATAGAGTCGGTGTCAAGGAGGAAATGCTTTCCGGGCTCGAGAAGTTTGAGTCGTGCGTTGTAAATTACCTGCGTATGTGTTTGGGTCTTTTTGCTTACAGATTCTCAGCGTGGACCCGGCCGAATGGGTCTCGAGAGGCTACGCCGTCGTCAATGTTGATATCCGAGGCTCATGGGATTCCGAGGGAGACCTCTACATTGAGGGAATGGCTCCTGGTAATTACGTCGGTCCTGAACAAGGGAATGAAATGGCTGACATCTTTACAGGCCGAGACGCAGCGGAAATCGTGGAGCATGTGGCTGCTCTGCCCTGGTGTTCGGGGTCCATTGGCATGCAAGGCAACTCTTGGCTTGCCGCCGTGCAATGGAGCACTGCAGTTGTTGCGCCCCCTTCTCTGAAGGCGATCGCACCTTGGGAAGGCTTTACGGACAAATATCGTGAAGTCGTCTGCAGGGGCGGTATCCCCGACGCAACGTTCATCAACTTGGTCTACAACGGGACCATCCGCGGGCGCAATAAACGCGAGGACATACTGGCGGCCGCGCAGAAGTGGCCCTTGATGAACGAGTATTGGGAAGACAAGGTGATCGAGACCGAGAAAATCGACATACCCATCTACGCCGTCGCGAGTTACAGCTCCGGTATTCACGGCTATGGTACGATTCAAGGGTTCCGAAAGGCCAGGAGCAAGAAGAAGTGGCTTCGTGTTCATGCCACGCAGGAGTGGTTCGATATCTATCGGCCTGATATGACGGATGAGCTTCAAGCTTTCTTCGACCGATATCTCAAAGGCATCGAGAACGACTGGGAGAAGACGGACCCTGTGCGTGTCTCCATCCTGACGTGTGCAGATCGTTTTGGCCCGGTGAGTTTTGTGCTTGAATATGCCTTCCTGGTAGAAGCGAACGGCTAACCCCGCCAGCAACCAATCGAGCACTTCCCCATAGGAAGCTATCCTCACCCAAAGACTGAGTATAAAAGGCTATACTTGAGTCAAGACACGCTTTCTACTCATTATCCGCAGAACAGGAGCGTGGTCTCTTATCAATCAGATGACTTGCAAGCAAAAGCAGCAGAGTTCGTTTTCCGCTTTCAAGACACCACCACGTTGATGGGATTCTCCAAAGCCAAACTCTGGGTGTCGTGTGACGATTCCGATGACATGGATATCTATCTCAGCCTCAGAAAGGTCAGCAAGACTGGAAAAGTCCTCGATCACGTTAACATTCCTTGGTCTGCAATACCCCGCAATGACAGCACCCAGGAAGACGTGACAAATACCAACGTAATCAAGGTTAGTCGCCTGCGGTGCACTCTTTGCCGTTGGATGATGTTTTAGCCTCACAACTCAAAGGCAACTGGACCACATGGGATCTTGCGCGTTTCCCATCGTGCGACAGATCGGTCAAAACAAGATTCCATCATGCCTTATCACCCTCACAAAGAGGTCCAGAAGGTTAGGCCTGGCGATGTTGTTCCGGTCGAGATCGGTATCTGGCCGATTGGACTGAAGTTCTTCGAGGGAGAAGGCCTCATGCTTCGAGTCCGTGGCAGCAAAGACGCCTACTGGGAGGTGCCGCACCTTCAAAAGGCAACAGTTTTCGGAGTGAACAAGGGGAAACACCACATTCATTTTGGCGGACAGTTCAACTCCTACGTCGCAGTTCCATTCATTCCTAATGTCTGATTAGTACGGTTTTTGTTGCAAGAAGTAAATGACAACGCGCTCGTTGCTGTTTTCAAGTTCAGGAAAGATTTGCCTCGCGGTACATGGCTCAATGAAAAGAAGAATCCAAGATGTGTTGTCGCCTTCCAAAGTTTGCGCATCGACCTGATTGTAGCACCGGCTTCGGGCTGCTGCATGCATAAGGTAGCGGCAGACCCGGGGCCCCACTCGGAGCCGGCCCAGTACCCGCACTGGCGCCGTGGGGGCCGCATGTTCGGCCCAACTCGGATGTGTCAGATTGGCGCTGCGTCGAGGCTGAGAGGTTTCACTCCGCAACGGACCGCCCGTTATTATTCAATCCCTGGTAATATGCAGTGCAGGCGGCACATGTATGCCACCGCCTCCTGCGCTTGCCGCCATTTCCCTGTCGCAAGTAGCCGACGTGTCCAAACTCTTATGCCGCAGATGCGGGGAGCCGACAAGAGAAAGCGAACATATTATGGGGCAATGTTGTCGCGGTTCACAAGTGTTTGGATCGAGGTCTTTTGAACTACAACCAAATACTGGCAAGTTGGCTACGCTGCTGGGTAGTGCACAAGGTGTGCTTTTCATGGTCACGAGGGAGACGATGATGCGGTAATGCCGGCCGAGTCCACAGCAGAGCAGCTTGAATTGTGGACTTCTGGAGATGCCGCTCGCACATCGTCATTGCGTGCAGTCAAGACCGAGTGGCACCTTGAGCGCATGGAGGTGGGTGGGTGGGTGGTTGGGTTCGCCTGGCTGCCGCCAATGCATTGCGATGGGCGTGAGTAAGAAACCAGCCCACCCAAACTCTACCTTACTTGCTTACCTTGGGTAAAGATGGAGAAATAATTCAGTAAGGGATCTACTGGTCTGGATATGAAGGCAAAATGCATGTATTAATTATTCATAGATACAAACAGAGCTCAAATGTTCTGCCGTTTGCGAATTTCGAGAATGGGGACGATGTAAGATGAGTCTCCGCTTAAGTACATATGCAGCAGCTTGATGCAATTGGGCGTTCCAGTTCCAGCCCATGCGGGCTAACGTAATGTTCTGCACGAGAAAGACCTGGGATCCACCTGCCCAAGCAACCAAGCCACATTTGGACATTTGGCAGATCCCTGCTCGTCCTACTGCCAGGTTCCAACTGGCAGCCAACCATTCTACCTCTACTGGTGCCCCCCGTCCAAGCCGGCCGCACCTTCTTACTGAAACCTCCGTGTCAAGCTGGACACTTGTGAGAGCTTCGTCATCAGCGTTGCCATCACTTCCAGCCTTTCGTCCTTCACTTTCCGCGGCAAATCTTTGCAATCTCTACTTGGAATTGGACACATAACAGCTCTCTCCATCGACGGAGACCCTCCGCTCGTCATCTTCATTCACCTCTAATCTATCGCAACCCCCGTCGCTTCTCCTAATCGTCGTCAGGAGTCTTCGAGCCCGACCCCGTCGGCCCAACCGCCCGTCATGTACTCGAACTCGAACGCTTTCCTGGGCGGCAACAGCCAACGGCCCGGTGCACAGCAATATGGAAGCTCTTTTGGACAACAGCCGGGACAGCAGCAACCCAGTCCGTTTGCTCCTCAGCCCACGGGTTTCGGTCAAGCGCCGCTGCAACAGCAGTACACCGGTTTCCCGGGCGCAGCACCGCAGCAGCAACCTCAGCCGACTGGCTTTGGTCAAGGACTCCAACCTCAGCCGACCGGCTTTGGGCCAGGTCTTCAACCTCAGCAGACTGGCTTCGGTCAGCCCCAGCCCCAGCAGAGCTTCCAGACTGGCGCGCCGCCGATGCCTTCAATTCCCCCACAGTTCCAGCAGCAATTCCAGCAACAGCAGCAACAGCAGCCGCAACAGCCTCAGCAGACTGGATTTCCTGGCGTCCAACAGCAGCAGCCTCAGCAAACTGGATTCCCCCAAGTTCAGCAACCGCAGCAGACTGGCTTCCCTCAGCCTCAGCAGCCCCAGCAGACCGGCTTTCCCGGCCAGCAATCGTCGTCGGCTCCGTCTCCCGCTCCCATCAAGCCGCAAGCTACGGGTTTCAGCCAGATGGCCGCGTCGTTCCAGACCGGAGGTACACCAAAGCCTGCTGGCCGGCGTCCGAAGACCTCGAACAAGATCCCCAACATCCGGCTTTCTTTCATCACTGCCCAAGATCAGAACAAGTTCGAGACCCTCTTCAAGTCCGCTGTGGGCGATGGCCAGGACAGCACTATGTCCGGAGACAAGGCGAGGGACCTGTTGCTGAGGTCCCGACTTGACGGTGATTCGCTGTCGCACATCTGGTATGTTGGTCTTCCACTGTTGACATCACACGCGCTAACATACTCTCGCCAGGACCCTCGCCGATACGACTCGATCTGGACAGCTTCACTTCCCTGAGTTCGCTCTGGCAATGTACCTTTGCAACTTGAAGCTTACTGGAAAGTCCCTGCCTTCCACGCTCCCCGACAACATCAAGAATGAGGTTTCCAGTATGGTGGACATCATCAACTTCAGCATCGCTGAGGATGCGGGTCGCACTACTCCTGGAAGCACAGCCACTGGAAGATCGAGCACCGAACCTACGATTCACCAGCCGCAACCTCAAGCGTCAAACTCCCAGTTGTTGCAGGCACAGATGACCGGGTTTCCTGGCCAGCAGCAGCCTCAACCAACGGGCTTCGGACAAGGGCTTCAACCTCAGCAGACTGGCTTCCCCGGCGTCAACCCGCAGCCGACTGGATACACGGGCCCTCGCCCACCCATGCCCCCGATGCCCACTGGATTCGGCGGAGGACCTATGGCGGCACCCCTGAATGCTCAGCCGACTGGTCGACCTGGCCAGTGGGGTCTCGTGAACACACCTGCCACTGGTTTGCCGAACATCGATCTTCTGCAAGCCCGTATGATGCCGCAACAGGGCCGTGAACAGCAGAACTTCACCACTCAGGGTCTCCAAGGCAACGCTGTCATTCCCTGGGCGATTACGAAGGACGAGAAGCAGCGTTACGACGCACTTTTCAAGGCTTGGGATGGTCTGCACAAGGGTTACATTGGTGGCGACGCAGCTATCGAAATCTTTGGCCAGAGTGGTCTTGAAAAGCCAGACCTTGAACGCGTTTGGACACTCGCTGACAACGGCAACAAGGGACGCCTGAACTTGGACGAGTTTGCGGTTGCCATGCACTTGATCTACCGAAAGCTCAACGGCTACCCGCTTCCCAACAGCTTGCCGCCTGAGCTGGTTCCTCCCTCTACGAGAAACATCAATGAATCCATTGGCACTATTAGGTCCATGCTCAGCCAAGAGTCCGAGTTCCGCAACAAGTCTGGCGCAGCTCTCCTTCCTCAGAAGACTGGAGTCAGCTACATGAAGAGCCACTCGCTCAGAGGTACTCCCCAGGGCTTCAACAGTGGACGTAAGGATGCCACCGTGTTTAAGAACAACGATGACCAGGTCGGCTACAAGTCCAGTGCCCGCCGCCGTGTTGGCAACAACTCTCCCCGCCCCGAGTCTCCTGTGACTACGTCATACGACGACCTTGGTCTCGAACAACTCAGAAAGAAGATCCGGGAGAAGGAAGTGCTCATTGACGCTATGGACTTTGCGGACGAGAAGAGCCTGGAAGAGGATGATATGCTTGATAGACGCGACCGCCGCGAGGCTGAGGAGCTGTACCGCCGTATTCGCCGTGTCCAGGACGATATCGACTCGCATCCCGACGCTGCGCTTGTCAGTGGAGATTCAGACGCCGAAAGACGTGCTTTGAAGCGCCAGCTCCAGACCCTCCAGGACAAGGTTCCCGAGCTGGCCTCTGCAGTTCGCAAGACCGAGAAGGCCATTGCCGATGCTAGACTTGAACTCTTTAGGCTCAAGGATGCCAAGGCCCATCCCGGCAGTGCTTCTGCCATTGTTGGCACTGGACCTGGCGGTGTCGTCACTGAGTCTGACAGGCTCAAGGCCAGAGCCAAGGCTATGATGCAGCAGCGCACGGCGGCTCTGACCGGCAAGAAGGTTGAATCCAGTTTCGACGACCTTGAAGGACCCAAGCGCCTGGAAGAGGAGACCCTCAAGGTCAAGACTGAGAAGGAGAACAACGAGAGCATGGTTAGAGATGTCGAGGACTCCGTGCGTGACTTCGCCCGCGGCATTGAGGATAGCTTGAAAGAAGGTGGTGAGACGTCTACCAACGAACACGAGAAGCGACGCTGGGATGACGCCCTTGGCGTCGAGGATGAGGTTAGAGATTTCATCTTTGACCTACAGCGATCCAGCCGTGCCGCCCGCGTTCGTGCTCAGGACAAGCGTAGCACGTCTAGGTCTCCCTCCGCCGCTCGAGCTAGCCCAGCCCCTGCTGCTCGCCACGAGAGTCCCGCTCCCCCCTCGCGTACTGCCACTCCATCAAGCGCCGGCGGAGGCTCCTACTCGTCTTACAAGACTCCCGAGGAGCGTGCAGCTTTTATCAAGCAACAAGCTGAGCAGCGCATGGCTGAGAGACTTGCTGCTTTGGGCATCAAGGCTCCCAGTAAGCCTGGTGAGACGGCTGCCCAGAGAATGGAGCGTGAAAGAGCCGAACGTGCTGCTAAGCTGCGCCAGGCCGAGGAGGAGGATGAACGCCGCGAAGCTGAGCGCCAGGCTCGTCTTGCGGAAGAAACGGGTGCCCCTGCACCGGCCTCGAGCGGCGCTAAGAAGCCTCCCCCACCGCCATCAAGGAAGGGCGGCAAGAACGATGCCGCAGACCGAGAGGCTGCTCGCAAGGCTGAGGAGGAGCAAGCTGCTAAGCATGCAGAGGAGGAGCGCCTCGCTAGAGAGCACGAAGCGCAGCAGCGTGCTACTCAGGAGATGGAGTAAGTCTAGCCCAGAGCTACCTGGAGTTCAAGTACTGACAGTGCATAGGGCAAACGCAAGAGAGGCAGAGAACGAGATCGAGAATGAGCGTTCTGCCGCGGAAGCCCGTCTCAAGGCACTCGAGGAACAAGTCAAGGCCGGCAAGCTTAAGAAGGAGGAGGAGAAGCGCAAGAAGAAGGCCGCACTCGCCGAAGCCAAGGAGAAGGAGTCTAAGCTCGCTGCCCAGAGAGCAGAGATCGAGGCTGCTCGTCAGCGCGAGTTGGAGCTCCAACGCCAGCTCGAAGCTTTGAACGACGATGATGACTCCTCGGACGACGAAGACGGTGCTGCTCAGATTACACCTCAGGCCTCGACACCTACTCAGGGCGGCAGCCAGATCAGCAGCCAAGAACTTGAGAAGCAACCCTCGCCGCCTCCTGTCCCGACCGTGGTTACAAGCCCGCCGACAGAAAACGAGAGCCGCAACCCCTACTACCGTATGCTCTCACACTCCTCCGAATCGACGTCCGGTCCTAACGAACAACCAGCACCCGCGGCCGCGCCTCCCCCGCCCCCTCAACCTGAAGTGTCAACCAACCCGTTCTACCGCATGACACAAGAAAGCAAGGCTGCACCTGCGGCAGCCGCTCCTCCCCCTCCCTCTGGGCCCTTCTCTCGCAAGCGTCCTGACGAAGACGATGACGGCTGGGGCACGGATAAGGATGAAGATGAGGACTCTGACGACGATGACCGTCCGGGTGGTAGCAGCGCCGCGGCCCTGGCCTCCATCTTGTTTGGCACCATGGCACCGCCGCGACCTCTGTCAGCTGCTGGCGACAAGCCGACTTCCAATCCTGTCAGCCCGGCCATCGGCAGTGCATCTCCGGCGTCTCCCTCGCCACCTCCTCCTATGCCCAGTTCTGGTGCCCCACCTCCACCTCCCGGCCCGGCGCCCGAGGCCCCGTCGGCGCCGCCGCCGCCTCCCATGCCTACTACGGCCGCACCGGGCGGTCCTCCTCCCCCGCCGCCGCCTCCACCAGGCATGGGAGCCCCGCCACCACCTCCTCCTCCCCCAATGGATGATGCCCCGGCTGGCCCACCGGCAGGCGGCAGACCCTCGGGTTTCCTGAGCGAGATTCAGATGGGTAGATCGTTGAAGAAGACTGAGACGCGCGATAAGAGCGGCGCCGCGACTGCTGGCCGTGTGTTGGATTAAAGTGACTGGTGATCGAAGGCGAGAGCTGTACACAGTTCCTTGGATTGGTTGTGGTGGTAGACTCTTTGGCGGTGGAGGATATGCTTGTATTTCATTATCAGACCGAAAGTCGACATAGTAATTCTCCAAAATCGAAGTTTTCGCCCTGTGCATCAGCGTATGTGTTTTTTTCCAGATACGTCATGTTGTCCAGCAGGAGGCCATTACGAAGAAGCTCACAACTGGTGTCGACCACCACGACGCGATCCTCCGAACGATGCATCAATGGAAACCTGTTTAATCGTGATGTCGATCGTTCAGGCAACATTCGAAGCATGGCAGCTGAAGGTCTTTTCTAATGGTCACCTCAGAACCACGAGATGTGAATTGAGATATTGGGCGCTCGGCGACGTCAGAGTACAGCAGTCATTCTGCAGGTGCATGGCGCATCCGGGTCCGAGGACGCGGATGGCGGTGCCTGGGGATCGTCAGCACCTCCATATTGCGTAGGTAGAATGAGTGAGCATCGTCAACGTCAACATGATCATCCCAGTCAACCAAGTAAGTTATTTCCGGCAAGGGTTCTCGCAGGCCGACATTGCACAGGACAGCTCCGAATCTCTGAGATCCCGAACTTGTCCCTTGGCATCTGTTGACTCCTATTCAGTGTTAGTGTCGTCCAGGACGTGGTGATGTGGATCTTGAAGGAGCTGACAGGGGATGGGATCCCGTTTCTTGGCATTTTTGTTATCCTAATCGGGAAAGGCGTCAACTGGTGTAAGTGGCCTGGGAAGGGAAGACGACTCTGTTTGCTGTTGCGAGGGTTCTGTCGGTGTCGTCTTTAAAAGAGATTTGAGAAGAACGTTTTTATTGCCGTCTCCATTTCATCAAAAGCTCACTCCTTCTTCGCTGACAAGAGCAACCGACGGGTGTTTAAACGCTTCGGATAGCCTTCACCAAACACCATCACATCAACCGAGCTTTCCACGCAACCTACATCCAGAAGCCTCCACAATGGCAGCTGGCGAGCCAAGTAAGCCCCAAGTCCGAATCCACGGCTCTTCTCCTGACACGTTCATCAGTCCTGTACAGCTTGTACGTGTACGCCCCGAACAAATGGGCCCCCTTCATCTTCATCGCCCTATACGGCATCTCGGCCGTCTTCCACATCTGGCAGTGTTAGTGAGTACTCCCAACTCCCCAGACCATTCCCGAAGAAACCCAGACGGCCTCTGACTTTGATGTTAGCCGCTATAAGGCTTTCAAACTCATCGGCCTACACCCCGTCTGCGCCGTCCTCTTCACAGCCGGCTACTCCCTGCGCCTGTATGGGTCCTACAACTACATCTACAGCGAGACCACCAAGACGCCCCTGATGGTCTTCATCTTCAGCCAAGTCTTCATCTACGTCTGTCCGTAAGTCGAGACTTCCCTTATCCACTCTCGTGAGCCAATTTACTGAGCAATTCTACCCATCCCAGTCCTCTTCTCGAACTCGCAAACTACCACGTCCTCGGCCGCATCTTCTACTACGTCCCGCACTGCGCGCCCCTCCCGCCGGGCAGGGTGCTCGCCATATTCGGCGGCCTCATGGCCGTCGTCGAGCTCCTCAACGCCCTCGGCGTCGCCCTCGCCTCCAACCCCTCCGGCACCAACCAGGACCTCGGCAGCCACCTGACGGTAGCGGCCATCGGGATCCAGCTCGTCCTCATCGTCGTCTTCGTCTGCCTCGCGGTCCTCTTCCACCGGCGCGTTTCCACAGCCGGGATCCGCTCCCGCGCCGTGGCGACCATGCTCCTCGCGCTCTACGCCAGCATGGCCCTCATCTTCGTCCGCTGCGTGTACCGGCTCGTGGAGCACACGGGCAGCACCGAGGTCGACCTCGACGACATGGAGGTCCTGAGGGGCCTGAGCCCGATTCTGAGATACGAGGTGTACTTTTACGTCTTCGAGGCCGCGCTGATGCTCGTCAACTCGCTCATCTGGAACGTGTGGCATCCCGGGCGTTTCCTGCCCAGGGGTCACCACGTCTACCTCGCGCCGGACGGCGTCGAGGTCGTGGGCGAGAAGGATGTTGATGCGCGGCCTGTTTGGGCCAAGGTTTGCAATGTTCTTACGTTTGGTATCTTTTTCCGGAGGAAGAGGAGCGCTCAGGGGCAGAGTGTGAAGCTGCGTGATCGGTCAAGGAGCTCGGGTGCGGGTAGTGAGCAGGATTGCACGCTTTTGCCTGGTTCTGTTTAATCTGTGTCATTGTTAGTGTGGTTTTGTAAGGTGTATAATGGGCAGTGCTGTGGTCAATTTTGGTGGAAGCGAATCTCAGAGGAGAAGCTGATGGAAATGTTCTACAAGTTTCGTTTGTTTTTCTCCTATCTCTTGAAGCGGTTATTCGCTGTGTATGTTGAAATATACTTGATATAATGTTTAAGGGTTCTTTCTTGGAGAGTGGCATAGATAGACAAGCAATTCAATGAGAGGTTTAATCGTGAATCTACCGCAGGTGAGAATAGAGACCAAGTAGAAGAAGCGTCTTGAACGATACATATTCGCGAAAAAACCGCCCCAGGTATTCGAGAACTACAAAGTCATACCCAATCACTTGCACAACTTCGCAACAACGAAGCGCCAAAGAGCCGTCTGTAGTCATCAATGATGCCAAGCTTACGTCTCCCGCGGGCGTCCTTTCGACAAGGTGGCTCCGTCAGATATAAGTGACGTGATTGGTCTCCCATAATCCCCGACGGGCTAGGGGACGTTGTCAGCTCAACGACCAGCATTAACCTCATGTATCAAAAGACATGCTCCATCCATCAACCACACAAAATTTGGAAACTTCAGGCCATATTTTTTCGTCGTCCGTTCTCATATCAGTAAACGAGCTTTCTTCCCCTCGCCAGATATGACAGGACGTGGCAGGCGTCACTGCTGGGAGTGTCGCCGGCGCTGTCTGGTCTGCGACTTCGCGGAGCCGGCTTGCGCAAGATGTTTGACATCCGGCGTCGAGTGCCCTGGGTATGGCGACGTCGAGCCCACGAGGCTCAGGTGGTTGGCCCCCGGCACGGTGAAGTCTCGGAACCGGAGGCGGATATCTGCTTCTGGGCCCGGGGAAAGCACATGCGCCCTAGACGTTGAGAAGAGGAATCCGCAGACCAGAAAGGCGCTGGGGGTGAACACATACGTGCCCCGTTTTTTTATCAGGACCGAGGTCTGCGCTTTGCCTCAAGCCGCGGAATACTGTAGGCATACCGCGAACGAATACTGTGATGAAAGAGATGGCAGTACAGCCGGCTGACTTGCGAGGCAGTCAACTCGTGCATCTATCACGACTTAGTCCCGATCCACGAACTCGGGCATAACCCCCACGTTTACCCTCTCACGGAACGTCATCTCCGTGTCGGGGCCGCGGCGCCCGAGTATCTACGCTTCGGCATGGTCTGCATGACCTTGAGCCACCGCATCAACAGGACCAGGAGCGGCAACCGGGCCAGCAAGGCGTTGTCGGAGAGGTTCTACACCTACTGGGGTCTCGCCGTCCGGTCTCTGGGAGAACACCTGAACTCCGGAGACGATTCTACGGGAGACGTTGTGATTGCTGGGATATTGACGCTCTTGCTGGCCGATGTGAGTTCCTCTGCTGTTAGAGGAGAGATTTCATGCGTGAGATGGAGAGCTCACCCTCGTCGCAGGTTCAAAACGGCACGTCCCTCAACTGGCGATGCCACATGGAGGGCGTCCACAAAATTATCTCCCTCCGGGGCGGCTTCGGCGCCGTGGCTGGGTCGAGGAGGTTGGAGCCGCTGCTTCTCGTCCTCTGGTCGTACGTGTTCAATTCCACCGAAACATTTCGTACGCCGTACTGACTTATCCCCTTGCCACAGCGTCGCCGTGATCGGGAACACGACATGTCCCGCGTCAGACCTTACCATGACGGTTGTCCAGCTCGACGCCCTGGAGCTCATCATGGAGCACTTCGCCACGTCGGCTTCCCCGTTCCATATGTGTCCTCTGCCGCTGTTCGGGGAGATCATCAGGATAAACCATCTCCGGGCCAGAGCTCAGAGCTCCGGAGCCGAGGGTCTGTCGAGCGAGGCATGGAAGATCCTGGATCGCGTCTGCGGCTTCTTGGTTGAAGACTGGGCGGAGCGCAAATCTCGTTTCAATCCCTCGTCTAAACAGGACTGGATGGTCTTGGGCAGCATCCATCAGTCCGCCGTCGTCATATACTGCATCCTCTCGCTCCAAAGCCTCGCCGTCCTCCCCTCGAACGCCGCTCTGAGAAGCCTCTGCGCCGCCCACGGCCGGGCATTGCGAAACGGCCTGGAAGAAGCAGTCTCGTCCCCGAAGATGAAGCGGTTCACGATCTGGCCCCTGGCCGTGCTCGGCGTGGCAGCCGTCCACGAGGCGGCGCTGCGCGGGTTTGTCGCGAGCCGGCTGCCCGGTCTGAGCAGAGACCTGGGGACATGCGTGCCGTTGACGGCGCAGTGTGTGTTGGAGAGGTTTTGGAGCTCTGGGAAGACGAGGTGGGACGCGTGTTTTGAGAGGGCGTATGTTTTTACCGGGCAGCTTGCTGTTGATACGAGCCGGTTGTCCGCTTATGATGAGGTTTGAGGGCGGTGGATAAATGGCCTAGACACGAGTAGTAGACGCTTCGTTTTCCGGCGAGGAAGTGATGGAAGTTAAGATTAATCTGCTCCATAAGTCGTGGTATTGAGTTCACCGGACAATGCTCGAGGTGACATTTGGCTAAGCTGTCGTGTTTGGTTGGTCCCCCCTTAATAGAGAGACAAATTTCTAGACAAGTCTTCTCACCACTGCACACCATCGTCCGTTGAGCAGTACAATCGATCTGGCGAGATGGAGTGCAGTCCGACCATGCTACGATGACTTCAAACATGGCTAGAACAAAAATTCTCGTCCACACCTAACAAAGAGGCCACGGAGAACTACCTCTATACTGACACAATCTCTTCCCGACGTTCGAATTGAATCGTGCACTTACAAACTCAACAAACCTCCGACCCTAGAACTCTCATATGAAAACCGTAGCAAAGCGACCCTTAATAAATTACCTTCCGTAAAAAACAGCAAGCACGCATCAGCCGAGCCCTACAGAAAGCCATTGTTCCTCTACCTAGATTATAGAAGGCCGACTCCCCGATTAGGACCGAATTGACATCCATTTCCCAAAGGAACAAAAGCCACATGCCACTTACACGCAAGCCACTAATCAAGACCATGCTCCTCCTCCCCCGCCAAACCTCTCCTCTTCTTTATCTTCCCCCGTACTCCTCCTCTTGGCCCGAGAAGTGCGTCTCAGTCCGTCGTGTCAGAAAGTTCACAAAGGAAGCATCCCCCCGGTTCAAGTCTAGCTAGCTTCCAGAAATCCCGAGCTTCCGTGTATGGCGTCGAGTGGGATTTTTTCGAGTTTTTCTAGTCCCATTCTACTGCCGTCGTCGCCGCCTCAAGCTCCGGTAGTTCTAGACCAAAACGTAAGAAAGGCTTTCGAGGGCGCAGGTGCTACAAAGGACAATGGAGGGGAGAGGAGGATGCAAAAGCCGGTGGTTGGGCGATCGGACCCTTCCTTGGTTTGGGGCCACGCGTGGATCGGGGGATGGCGTCTTACTTTCCTTCTTCTTCTTCCTCGTCTTCCTTTTGTTTGTTCTATTCCCCCTCCCCCGCCCGGCACACGATGTAGACCCCCCCGGTTGGGGACGTTTAGGCCCGTTTCTTTCAAAGTGAGGGGTTTTCGTTTGTCTTGGAAAGTTTTCGGGTTCTGAAAGTTTGAAGGCATATTCATCGCAATGCAAGGAGGTCGTGATATCTGCTAATGTGTCGTATGACGGGAGGGCTAGAGGACGAGAGCGCGATGCAAAAGGATGTGTAGATGTCACGTCAGGTTCAATGACATGTGCGTTGCGGGAATCACCATCAATCATCAGTGCTTGATGACGCGAAGCTGCGTCAAAAAAACTCGGTTGCCCTGTCACTCTGTCTATACGGCAATGTGCCAGCGTTTTGATCGTTTTCCCTGCATAATGTGCGCGCGAGCTCTGCTCCGCGGGGTTCACGGGAAGGAAGTTCGTCGCAGTGTCAGTGCTAATGTAGGCGCGAGGTCAGTTGGTAAGAGGAAAACAGACGTCGACTGACGATATCCTGCATGGTGGTTCGAAGGTAAGGGCCCTCTCGCGGTTTTTGGTTTCGGAGCTTGATTGGGGAGGGAGGGGAGGGGAGTGATCTTCGAGAAACAAGGTTGGCTCTTTACGAATTACGGTTGCAATCGGCTAGCCGAAGCTTGGGACATTGAAGAGGGAACGGGGGTGGATCTACGGGATGCAAAGCACAGAAGACGAGCGATGGATTTCTCTTGGATGGGGTGGAGGAGGGGGGATCTGATATCTGTGCAGCGGCATGTACAGCACGTTGGGAAGGGGACGTGCTTTTGCTCTCGTGGGACCAGACCCCGGTGCTGCTGCTGCTGCTGCTGCTGCTGCTGCTAGCTGTCACGGTTTACCTAGAGGGGGGAAGAAACGCGACGAGAGACCATCTCTCGTCTTGGAAACAGATGCACGGAGACGATCGTACAACGGCGGCGTAGAAGGTGGGAGGAAAGGTTAAGGGCCCTAGAATCCGAGTTCCCGCTTGAGCTCCAGCTTTCCAAGCTTACCTAGGTCCATCTATTCGGGGCACATTCGAGCGGTGGGAGTTCTTTTTTAGTTTGACGAGCTTCTTGAGGAGTGTCTGTGTGGTTGCATGTTAAGAGGGCCGAGAGAGGGCCTCCCCGGGGTGGCGTGCCTTGGAAGAGGTCCCGAATTCTCTCGAAGGAAGGGAGAGCTGTTTTCCAAGAACGCCCCCGGCGCGCTCTTTTAACTCGAACACAATGGATGGGGTTCTTTTCTTGGATTGACCGAGGCGGTTTTCCCCTCGCTTTTCCGAGAAGACCGGAGAGAGAGAGAGGGGCAGAGGGAGAGGCTGAGTGAGGGGAGGTCCCGAATGGCGTACGAGGTCTCGACAATGGGCCGCGAGATCGAATGATGGGACTGTATGTTTGCTTATTCTGAACGGGGGTCCCTGATATCTTTTCTTTGCGCACAAACAATGGCAGGAGGCGAAGACAGCTGGGTTCAGCTCAGCTTTTCGCACGTAAAAGCGAGGCGAAAAGAAACAACAGAGTTCAGGGAAGCTGAGAGTCGAGTTCCTGGTGCGAACCATGCGTTGTTCCATTGTTGAGAGAGAGACAGAGAAAGGATTGGGGATGACGGCTCATGTGATCCGACCGTTTGCCAGCTTTTTTTTTTTTTTGGTCTTCGTCAATGCATTCTGGGATGTCGAGGATCACGGACTTGGGCGAGGGATCGGGTTACCGGACGGACGACGAACGATGGCCCTGGTCTCTGTTGGTGTAAGTGGAAGTGCCCAAAGCTTGCATCGTGCTGCCTTGCCTTGCCTCGCCTTCGCCTGCCTTGGCTTTTGCTGAAGAGACAGCTTGTCGGGTTATCTGGCGATATGGGGCCAGTCGCATGGAGCAGCGATAAGGTGGCCTGTAAGGCAGGGCAGACAATCGTGTGCGCCAAGGTACGGATACCGCTGGTAAGGTGCGGCGCGGATGGGGAGGAGGACGTCGACGTCCGGCACTTTGGGCGGGTATATCAGAGGTAACGCTATTAATATCGAGATGGCAGGGATGGATGTCGCATGGGCCCCAGCGAAAGCGACGTGAAGGAGATGATGGAGAGAGACAGGAAGGAGGAGGAGGAGGAGGAGGAGGAGAAGAGGGGTGCAGATTGCAGAGTGCAGTAGTGTGGTGTAGTTGGTAGCGACGGTGCCGTCGGCGGTGGTCCGCGATCGCGTTTGCGCAGGTTCCATGTTCCATTGACGGAGTGAGCTGGCAGTTGGACGGGCCGGGGCATTCATATCGGGCCATCAATGCCATTCTGATGGGACTGGTGGTAAGAGGATGACGAGAGGAGCCTTTCCTTCTTGCGACCTACGGAGAAGCTGAAGACTTTTTTGCAGCATTAATTTCTCCATCATATCAGCCGGGAAGTGAGAAGGGGAAGCCGAAATTCTCGGTCATCGGACTGGATTCCGTGGGGATCTCGATGACGGATCGAACAGACTTTTTCTTTCTCTGGTTCCTTCCAAGGGCCCCAGGACATGAATGCCAAACGGTAAGAATTCGACCTTGGCCTGGAGGACGGGTTCATGCCGGATTGGGGAAGAAGAGTCAGAATTCGGGGCGAGCTAGATGCGTTGTCATTGATTTGCGAGATGGGATATCTCCCGGAAGGGAAGATTTGCATCTTATGCGAAGAGATCGACTGACAGGGACCCGACGACTGGGCTGAACCTTGGACGAAGTCTTTTTGCCCTTTTTTTTTTTTTTCTTTGCGCCCGGCACGCCAGTGGTCAGGTTCGTGGTCGGTCGGGTTCAGGTACGGGACACACGGGGGTACGGGGGGCCACCCTCGCCGTTTGTGAAGGTTGTGCGCGCGACTTGGTGGGCGAGATTCACATGGGAGAGGATCCCGTCAGGTACCGGCTGAAAAAAAGTCCCATTTTGAAGTGACAAGAGGAGGGGAAAGCGGGCTTCAAGCAGCCGCAGGTGAGACGGGAACCCTGCTTTCGCGCGCTCTCAAGCAAGAGACCCGGGACGCAGCTCTCAAGGTACGTATTTTGAGTCCAACAACGACTTGCCTGACTGAGAGACGACTGGGAAGTGGCTTCGAGATGATGGGAGGAACTGGGAGTTGGTCCCAATTCTTGTTGAAACACTGTCACCCAACACGGCCAATGAGACTCGAAGAGGTGGAAACGGTTTGATTGAGGGTGGTGAGCCGGGGGCGCGATTGGGCACGAGCACGGGAAGAAGAGAGACACGAGGTTTCTGGAAAAAAAGAGCAGGAAACATGTGTGAAAGGATTGGCTTTCCAGCAATCCACCGAGAAATGATGTCACGGATGGGGTGGACATGTCGATGTTAGGTACGTATCTCGGTACTCGTATCATCGGATGGAAGGACCGTGTGCAGGGGGTCTCACTCTCAGATATGTCAAGTTCAGTCAAGGCTACCTCACGTAGCACCGCATTTGACGTTGGAGAAAAACGTCGATGCAATACGGATACCAACGCAATTAGATATGTGATGATAACTCAACGGGTGACAGCCCGGAGGCAACAGGTATCATGACTAGTGTCAGATGCCTCTTTCTTAATGGTCCTGTGCCTGGCGAGATGGGGTCTCGATGATGGGATGTTGTCTTGGAGCTGTGAGACCTCTTCCCCGTACCTGAGGCGGTTTACAAGCTCGCCCGGCCGGTCTTGAGCCCGTGAACCCCAAGGTCTCGGCGCCTGTGGAGAGACAAATGTCGTAGCAGAGGCGTCGCAATTGGCGCTGACCTTCCGTCGTTTGTCTGCCTGCCTGCCCATTGAGTGATCTCTGTTTGACGTTACAAATAGCAGATGGCGGTCTCGATCACTGACGGGTGAGTCGTTTACTTGTGATTGATAGACATTCAGCCCGTCTGGAGAGAGGCCGCCACGCGATTCACGAGAGACGACTCGACCACGGCATGCTTATTCGTCAGACACGCTCCAGCGGCCGTTCCGCACAAGGCAACGATGGCTACCGCTTATCCGTGGGATTACGATTACCTTGTGGATTAGTCTTACCTACCTTAGCCTCTTGGGGGGTTTATCTCAGTGCACATCCGTGCAGTTTCTGTTAGTGCATTCACGACTCCCTGCATTGAGGCTCGAGCCATATTTTAGTCATGATTGGACTCTGGCGACCCATGGAAATCATGGACAGGGCTCTTGTTCTAGAAGGGCATTAGGCTAGGATTTGGGCAGCTGAAGTCTGGAGATGACGAGACGGTGATGGCGAGCATAGGATCTCCTGAAGGTCCGAGCTGTGCCACCTGGCGATGCTCGATTCGGCCAGACCCAAGCCAAGAATCATGAGAGCCCAGAGTCCGCGGGAGAATGAGAATGATGAAGTCGAACGGAGCCGATGAATACCATCGCCATCCATGATTCCATCGGCCGGGCTCTTATATCATCGGATATGGTGAGACGACGGGCACATTCCGTACCTGGCGATCTGGCCAGCGTGAGACCTGGTCTTGGGGTCTCAGTTGTTAATAGTCTGAGTCTCACAACGGGGATAATCGTCGCGAGACATTCGGGTTTTGTCAAGCGCCAGATGAATTACGGATACCGTTTCTAAGAGAAAAGACTGAAATCATTGCGTGCCGGCAGAAAATTTCTTTCGAAAATTTGGAAAAAAGAAGTGAAATTGACAAAAAGTTGCTGCCGTCAATCCGTTCGCACGTTCAACGGTATCCGTGATTCGCAGTGTTTGATAGGTCGGGACAGCCCAGTTTCAGCGCTGCAGCACCCGAGCCAATCGAACCCGCAGTCATGTGATATCAGGCTTCTGATTGGTGGATAAGCACGCGTTTGTTGTTTTTTCCTCGGACGCGTCTCGGACGCGCCAACGACATTCCATGACCTCCCGCTTGGTTTTCAACCCAATCAATCCCGGCAGCACCGCACACAAAGGCCAGACGAGAGACCGCCAAATGACGACGACGCCACCGGACTGAGAGAGTGAGATAGAGGAGAAGACGGCCAAAAAAACGTCGTCGCAGAGAGACACAGAACAGGCGACACACACTTTTGCACTCCCGTCATTCTGCTTATCTGATAGGAAGCTCGTTTTTGCGGATGCAGATCAACCGAATTAATGGGCAGATGGGCGCTTAGCCCTTCGGACGTACGACCTCACACCTCACACTGATGGCATGAATGAACAGCCAAACTAGCACCTCGACCATTGTGTCAGACGAGGCAAAGACGAACGAGCCCTTGGTGTCTTTTTTTTGGGCTTGCGCTACCACCAGATTGGCTCGAGTGGCTCGGCGTTCTTTGACAATCATCTGGTGGTTTCGAGACTCGCTATTGCTCTGCATTGTACTGGGAAGGAAGAAGGCCAAACGATACGGATACAGAGCATCGCGGTTTTGCATCATTGTCCACGCTATCCACCCTTGATTTTCCCTTCCCCGGCAATTCCTTGCCTTGCATGCGTGCGGCGCCGCTGGCTGCAGCCCGCATCGCGACTCCAGCCTCTTCAACAGCGTTCATCCCAGGACGGTGCAGGTGGACGCTCCATCAGAAGAAACACGGCTGGAAACGCTGACTGGCTGTCAGACAATCTGCGGAACAAAACGTAAAAAAACGGCAGAGGAGCAAAAAAAAAAAAAAAAGGAAGAGCAAGAGAAAAAGCGGCGCGTCTGCGGACGGAGTCTCGCATGAACTGCAAAACCTGCTTGCATACGTGCATAGCATAGCCTTCCCGTCCTGTTCCCCGTCGCCAACTCGTCCATTCACATTTCGTACAATCGTCGTCACCTCTCTCCGGCTTGGAAAGAAGACGGACGGGAGACTCTCTCTCTCTCTTCTGCCGGACGTAACCCGCGCACACACCACACCCACAATCCACCCCCCTCTTTCTGCTCTCCACCGCGCCTGAAAGTCCCGTCTGACAAGCCTGGACCTGGACCTGGGAGCCCTGCTGAACATCTTTCTGTGAGTCTCGGCTGTCTGTTGGCGGCGGTGCTTCTGTGCACTGCGGTACTTCGCACCGAAGGTACGCAGTAGAGCCTAGAGGACGTCAGGTCGACCTGAACTGGAGCCGGACGGCGTCGGAAGCCTGCTTCAAAAAGACCGGGACGACTGGCCCTCTTTCGACGACGACGACCAACGACGAAGCCATTCACGACGGCGAAGACGGTCGAGCAAACGCAAAGACAAACGCTCAAGCTCCTCGCCGTCACCGCCGCCTGACGTTCAACGGCCTACAAAGCTTTGGAAGGAGCACCGACCCCGAGACCGGGTACTCATTTGGCCGTTCGCAGCGCATCTCGGACTCTTTAATCGACAGTCGGCGTGTTCCAGCAAACGGTCGACATCCATCGTGTCCGTCACCCTCTCTCTCTCTCATCAAGATCCATGTCGGTTATGGCCAATGCCATTCGCACCCCGGACGATATCAACTGCGAAGAAGAGAGAGACTGAGAAAGACTGATTGACTGAAGGCACACACTCCCTGCATCCCATCCCCGGCTAACGCTGCACACTCTCACTCTACACCACACACCCTTGCTGCCACCATTCGGCGTACCCTAGTCGTCTAGCCTGGTAGTGGTAGGGTATTCGTAGGTCGTGTCACAGCCCACGCTCCTCTTGTCCAATCGCCCATTCCTCCCGTGCTCCAGAATACTGCAAAGTCCCCACTCGGACATCTCTGGGCGTGTGGGCCACGGCGTGGGCGTGCTGAGCTGGCCGTCTCTGTGGCTCCTCTTTCCTGCACCTCACACCTTCTCACTGGAAGTCAGTGTCAGTGTGTCAAGCAAGACTCAAGTACCAACCCGGGCCTCCACTCTTTCGACTCGCCTTGAACAGTCCACGACCTCTACTTTCTGCTCTCCCGTCTACTTTTCCTCCATTAACTTTTGTACCTTATCCTCCTGCCGCCGCCGACTCTTCGACCCTCCCACACCTTACAACTCGCTAACCTCGACTTGTCTACCTTCTCCTCACTCCAGGTCGCCTCGCCTGTCTTGCCGCTACGCTACCTTACGCTACGCCTTCCTCTCACTCAGCACCGCAGTATTACATCTAACCTACCCTCCTCCCTCCGCGCGCCATCGTGCCTGATATCCCCTCTTTTCTTTTCAAACAACCAACTTTTGGCAGCCACAAAGTGAAGCTTCACGCACACCTTTGCCATTCGACGTCAACTCGCTCTGAATACATCATCGCACCATACTTTGCTGCTGCATCGCATCGCATTCAACCGTCGGTCAAGATCGCGACTCGTCGTCCGCCTAACAATTTGACCGCCAAAAGGCCCCCTTGCATTCACGACCCACAAGTCATTTCCAGCATCTAGACCCGACCAAGGTGAGCCATGAGTCTCCTCACTCTTTCTCCTCCCTTCAATCATGCGAAACCCCGTTCGGGTCAACAACCTTGGAACTCTGCCCTGTCAGGACGGGAGATTCACCACCGCACACCGCGACTACTTATCTAACCCGATGCCTTACGGCTCGCTGACATGCCCTTCCACTTTCAGCCCACTACCCGACCCAACCGCAGTTGACACCCGATTCGGAGACGACATCGAGCACGAGGACTAATCGGCCGACATGGCCAAACCCACGCGCTTCGCCGGCTCCCATGAGCCTTTACAAATTTACCAAGACGACTTCTTCGAGAACTCGACCGCAATGATCAACCACGCACCCATGCCCGCCGCATCAAAGCCCCCGAGGAGACCTCTCGGCGCCGCAAGCAACAACAACGTCGTTCTCAACCCGCCACCACTCGCTTCCGACAGACACTCGCCGTTGAAGGCATCGTCAGGCAACCAGCATTCGCCGCTCGCCCCTCTGAAATCCCAAGGCAACAGACTCAACATGGTGCCGATGGCGCCACCCTTGGCAAAGACACCAAACACCGATTCGCTTCACAAGAAGCCCTACCTGTCCAAGTTCAAGACCGTCGCGCAAAAACCTCCCATCGTAGATCTCGCCGCCGGGTTTGGAAAGGAAAACGTGCACCCGCAGTTGTACCCTGCGCCGCCGACAATCAACTTCGATCAGTTCTACATGCACAAGGCACCCGGCAAGCGCACGTTGATGGAGGCCGCCCCGATCAAGGAAAATAGACCGCTCAAGAAGGTCAAGACCGAGGACACCGGTCTGCCGCCCCATGATTCCTTTCCTCCGATTTGCGACGACGGGACGAAACCGGGACACAGCTACGCGACTCTCATCGGCATGGCCATCCTCCGATCTCCCAACCGGCGCTTGACGCTTGCGCAGATTTACAAATGGATCTCGGACACGTACTCTTTCTACAAGGCGGAGGAATCGGGCTGGCAGAACAGCATTCGACACAACCTCAGTCTTCACAAGGCCTTCATTAAGGTGGAGCGGCCAAAGGACGACCCGGGCAAGGGCAACTACTGGACCATTCAGGAGGGCATGGAGCAGCAATTCATGAAGGATAAGCCCGCGAGGAAGACGGCTACGACCGCCGAAAATGTCCCCGTCATGTCGACCCGAATGGAGCCTTCGAGACCCGTCAACATGCCTCTCCAGGAGCCGACTCTGCCGCCTCCCGCACCGATCAACCACGTCTCGCTTCCGCCGCTGCCTACGTCTCAGGCTACCGTGCCCGTCGAGTTTTCATCCGATGCGACCATTCCCATTTCCGACTCGGCCGTCCCAGAAGATGGACACGACAAGGGACTGGATCAGGACGGCTCTCCCCTGCCTCCTACAATGCACTCTTCACCGCCGATTCCCCGACACATGGAGCCCCGCAGTCGCACGCCTCCGCCGCCCGGCCGCGGCCGCGGACCCGCGTCTTCCATTACGAGATCTCATAGGAAGTTTGCCTCAATGGACGACAGCGGCTACATTTCCTCCCTGGAGTCGTCGGCGCTGCGGCAGCCGAAGACCGGCATTCTGACTTCGGAGGCTGACCGCCCCCGGAAGCGCAGCCGCGCCGGCAGGGCCGAGGATGAGATTATTCGCCTGCGCGCTTCCTCATACGACAGCCCTAGCAAGGGTCGGTCATACAACGCCTTCGCCCCACCATCTTCATCACCGCTCCGCCAACAAGGACAGATGCTGCCGCCATTGACGCCGGCCATGAAGCTGAAGCCGCCTACGAAGGCACCGCCGTCCGCTTCGCCGAACACCAACCTCCGTCTTCACCGCGACCATGTCCGTCAGATGCTTCAGTCTCCGCTCCGTAAGATGAACGGCGCTGGTGACACCAATGCCCCGTGGAGCCCGGCCTTCAACCTGGACGAGACTGTCTACAACTACAACCTCTTGGCCCCCGGTGACTTCGACATCTTCCAGGACATGGACAACGACTTCTTTGATGGGCTCCCTCAAGAGTCGCCTTCGAAGAAGTCCGTTAGGCGACCTCGCGTTGAGCGCACAACCTCGGCCAGCGCTCTGGCTGATGCCACAGACTCTGCTAACGGCAAGTCGGTAATCTCCACACCTTTCCTGAAGGCCCCCGCGCAAAATTCTACCATGTGGGAAACCCCCAGCAAAGTGTTTGATGGGCTCTCATCTCCCATCAAGGGCGGCGACAGCGCTTCCCAGTGGAGGTTCCCTTCTCCGACCAAGATTTCTTCCTCTTTCTACGAGGTTGCAGCCGAGGGCGACTGGCCCTCTTTCACATTCGACACCACCGACTTCATGCCGGAGGACCCCAACGAGTACGCCGGACTCGACATTCTGCAGGGCTTTGAGAAGATCGGCTCGGGCTCGCAGCCCAAGTCGTCGAGCTCCAAGCCCAGCAAGCCTGCTTTTGGACGGAGTTACACCACGCAATTCTAATCTCTTCAATGAGGCCTTTCCGTCTCATTGGCGCTGAGACATGACGACCCGTTACGATGTATGAACATACTTATTGGCATAACGTCCGATGCTCAGGCGTCGACCCACACGATAATGGAGCGGGAAAAGAACTTTTTGGGCTGGATTGACTTTAAAGACTAATGTCTGATATGGGCCCCGAGGCTTTTTCACTTCGCTGTCCATGATTGTTGCTTTATGATAATGACGAAAGCAGCGCGCATACTGGCTTATTGGGGGAGGGAAACATGATTCTGGTAGGAAGGGAAACATTGGGACTGCGATTGCTTCTACGGCTGTTGGCACGGCGGGTTTGCGGGCTGCACACTACGGACCTGGCGAGGAGTGTTTTGGCCGAACGGCTTTTTTGCGTGCGTGCGTTGTTATTTTTGTTGTGAGAAAACTGTTTTTTGCTTTTCTGGATGTGTCGCGCGAGATCACAGCTTCCTCCGCGCGGAGGACACTTAGTGGTAAATGCTAGTACGAACCATCATCACATTCTTTGAGTTGGTCAGATGACCGGACTAAAACATTCGCTCTTCCGTCTTTACTGCACTGTGCTCGCCGAAGTTGACCGTCTCGACGCTGATCAACGTTTTAGTCGGATATATCTACAAGGCTCTCTGCCAGAACGTGTAGCTTCCCTCTCAAGACGCAGCCATCGTCGCAACACCTCTGCAGATTCAGCACCTACTGCTAGGCCTTTGCTCTCTTTTGGCATAAAACCTTCCAGCACCTCCGGAACATGAAAGGTCACGAAGTTCGCAGTCTTGTGACCAAGCCCAAGTAACTCAAGAACGGGTATCATATTGAATTTGCTCTAAATCCCATGCCCAACATGTCTGTCTATGCCCATTATCCATAACGCCTTAGAAACCAAGTATCCTCGTGTATTCGCTTACCGTGGCAACATTCAAGCAGGGAGGAGCGTCGCTCGCCCTCGTCATCTTCGAAATTCGTGACATATATTAGACGTCCCCTCTCAGTATATCCCCATCCTCGTGGCCCAGCCGCTCTCCTTCTGGTTGATGTTGATCTGGTAGGGGAACGGGTTGGAGCCCTGCGTCGTTATCGGGGGGATGTGGTCCTTGTGGGCGTTGACGAAGGTGATGACCTTCATGACGGTCGTCATGAGCGTTTGTTCCATGGCCTTGCGGACCTTTGCCCTCTCTGTGTACATGTCTTGTCAGCACTTGTCCTCTCTCCAAACAGTAGAGTGTAGCGAAAACCCACCCGTCTCGGTCCTGGGCTCCGCGACGGTGACCTTGAGCGTCCAGCACTCCCAGCAGACCTCCTCGTCGCCGCGCATGAGCCAGGCCTTCCTGCGCTTCTTCTCGAAGAACTGGACGTTGAGCTGCCCGCGCCCGCCGCTGCCGCCGCCGCCGCCGAGGCCCGTGTTGGAGGAGCGCTCGGCGTCGAGCTGGCGGGCGAGGGCGGCGGCGCGTTGGTCGATCATGGTCTCGAGCTCGACGTCGTCGACGTAGGGGAGGGTCAGGTCGAGGACCTCGCGGGTGTAGGGGACGACGGCGGGGAAGAAGCGGTGGAAGAAGATTGTGTGAAGGATTCCTGCGTTTCGAAAGGTTGCTCCATGTTAGTCCATCTCATGTGGTGGAAGGTGAGGTCTTGTTGTCGTGGCGGTTTAGAGGGGGAGAGTTGCGATCGTGAACGGAGGCCCGTTGAGGGATATGACGTTTGGCGGGGCGGACGGCCGGACTGGGGTTGGACTGGACACGATGGGGATGGATTGGGATGTACCTTTGACGACGTCCCTTACGGACGCCGGGTCCGCGAAGGCGTCCAGGATGAATTCTGGGGGGTTCTGGGTCTGCATCGTTCGAGGGTCGTTTCTTTCCTACGTGTCGTGAGGGGATTTGCGACTCCCGGGTGTTGTTTTTGGTGGCTGATGTCCTTTCCCGGTCGATGAATGTCGGGTGTCAGAAGATGGGAAGCGGACGGGAGGGGCATCTCAGTCACAGTGGGATGCGCCTGCCGGGTGCCCCGATAAGGGGGCAGAAGAGGAGCGACGGGACCTCGTCGGGGGAAAGTCACGCTAGGTGAGCCCAGGTGGGCAGGGATGCGTTTACCCCGTGCTTTCCATTTGGGCATGGGTCCCGGGGGAAGGCGGCGGCTCACCTCGGGCACTCGTTTCCACGTCGCCCGATGTCGAGCAGTCAGCGGGCACTCAGCAGGTAGAGTAACATAGGTAGTATTCTCCAGCCACAGAGAGACACCTGCCACGGGCCATCTGAACTCACTTCACTTCAGTTAATGAGCGTAGTAAAGCAACGTGCTGTGGCTGGGCCGAGGTAATCACGGTCCCACGAACAAGCTGGAGCCAGAGGACGGGAGCTATCCTTTCCCTTGCTCTCTGCTTAATTGATACCTCATTACGTGCCGACAAGCCTTCCCAGAGCTCAATAACCCCCTCCGTCCAAGCCGTTATTTTTTTTCTCATATGCCAATTTCGCGTCACCCGCCTGATCTTATTCTTTTCATATGATTCTCGCAGCAGCCTCGTAGAGTTTTATTCGGTTTAATCTCACTCTCGGGTCTGTGTTAGTTACAATTCACTCGTATCGTGTCGTGTGCCAGCTTTGGCTCTTTCTGAGGTGCTGCGCTATCGGAAGCTTGCGACTCTACCCCATCCACCTCCCAACCACGCCACCGAAAGTGGCATTTCATCTTTTTCGAATTGAAGAGTTGAAACACAAGAAAAAGGGAACTATCCCCAGGCACTGGCGCAGCACAAGATATCATGTTCGACGCGACTCGGCGATGGTTCCGCCGGAACAGGACGCCTCTCGCCGTCGGCGTGGGAGTCGTCGGTGCCGGCTACGTCGTGACGCAGTACGTCCTGGGCAAGATCAATGATGCGCGCGAACGCATGAGCAGCGATCGCGTCGCCAAGGAGAAGTGAGCATCTCAATCCCGCCGTCCCGTGTCTGCCGTGCAATTGGGCCGCAAGTCGACTGACCTTCGTGTGAAAACAGCCTCCGCCGCCGATTCGAGCAGAACCAGGAAGACTGCACCTTCACCGTCCTTGCCCTCCTCCCCTCCGCGACGACGAGCATTCTCGAGGCCATGAACACGGAGAAGATCACGTACGAGATCCAGAAGATGAAGGGGCAGACGAAGAGTCTCAAGGGCGACAGCGCGAGCCCGCCGAGTATCGCGGATACCACCATGACGGCCGACGACGACGGCCGGAGCGTCGTGAGCAGTGGTGTGCAGAGCGAGAGCGGGCTGCATGCGAGCCAGATGACGGTGCCCAGTGCCGCTGCGACGAGCGGTGAGGGCGCGCAGGATGGAGGGACTGCCGGGGCTGCGGCGGCGCAGAAGGCGAAGAAGACGAAGAGGCAGTTGTGGGACGATTTGACCATTAGCTGTAAGTGTGATCGATTGTCGGAGAACCAGTTATATGCGCTAACAGAGGGGGAACAGCTATCACGAGGGCATTCACGCTGCTGTATACGCTCGCGCTTCTGACGATGCTGACGAGGGTACAACTCAACCTCCTCGGCCGCCGCAGTTATCTGTCGAGTGTCATCTCGCTTGCCACAGGCACCGCGCAGGCGACCATCAGCCTGGAGAACAACGACGACGGCTTGGAGCCCTACGGAAACGACTTTGAGACTAACCGCCGATACCTGACTTTCAGCTGGTGGCTCCTCAACGAGGGATGGAAGGAGCTCGGTCAACGCGTCGAGGCCGCTGTCCGCCAGGTCTTTGGCCACCTCAGCCCGCGCGACCTGCTCAGCTTCGAGCAGTTCTCCGAGCTCACCCTCGCGGTGCGCAAGATTGTCGAGGGAGAGACGCCCGAGGAGCGCCGCAGGGCCAGGTGGCTGCCGTACCTCCTCCCGCCAAGAGACCGCGAGGACCACGTCCTCCGCGAGTCGGGCATCCTGGAAGAGAGCACCGTCATCCTCTCGGAGAGCGCAACGTCCCAGTCCCCGTCGTCGTCGCCAGCTGTCAGAAGGTTGCTGGACGAGACCTCGGACCTGATCGAGTCCCCCTCCTTCATCCATGTGCTCACCCTCCTCCTAGACGCGGGCTTCTCCGCGTTGGTCGACAAGAAGCTCGCATCCGCCGCCTTCAACAAGCCGGACCTCGCGCAGTCGGAGCCCCGGACCTCCCAGGTCATCCTGCTGCCCAAGATCCTGTCGGTGCTGACGCGGGAGGCGCACGTCATTGGCAACGGCATGCCGAACGAGTACCTGCAGGAGATGGAGCAGGTGCGCGACCTGGAGGGCTTCGCAGCGGTGGTGTACTCGAGCAACTGGGAGAACGAGATCCAGCAGGAGGAGGGCGGCATCATGGCCAGCGCCGTGGACGTGAGGGCCAGCGACTTCGTGTCGAGGCCGAGCCAGGCGACGACCAACATCCCGAGCCAGACGCAGGGGACGACGCAGGGGACTGGGGAGGAGAGCGTGGTGGTGGTGGACCCCGCAAGCAGTTTTGAGAGTGCGTGGGGGCGAGCACAGAAGTAGTAGGACTGCTTCGAGTGCGGTTTAGGGGGCTTCCGGCCCGGATACGACTTTTTAATGAGATTCATGGGATTTGCGGGCGAGGTGGTGGGTGGTGGTCACGGGAATTACAGGTATCATTGTATAATCTATGGGCAAGAGATAGATGAGCATCTCGACCTGTACCAATAAGCACGGGCCGGCCTAGAATAAGAGCGGCGGCCTCGTACTCTCTCTTTCGGCATCGCTGCGGCCCTTTCGTTCTCTTACTTGGTGTCTATTATCAACCTCTATCGTAGAGTCGTCCACGCAGCGCGCTGGAGGCTATTCGGTTGGTGCCGTCTCGGTCGAGCTCGTGTGTACCAGCAGTGGGTTGGCTCTGATGCTTGTTATGCGTCGTTGGACGGCACGTAGCCGCCACTCGTCTTTGTAGTTTGTATCCGAGTCTCGCCGGTGTTTTCACATCAGACCCCTGATGAACTGATCCAGGCCCAGCTCGAACAGCTCATTCTTGACGCCCTCTCCACCCTTGTGTTCGGCCGGCGATAGAGGATTCTTGACAACTGCAGACGAGGATATCAGCGACACGTGTTCAATGACCCAGGCTCTCCCCGGCATCGCAAAACCATAGCACCGAAAGCAAAGGTAACTCACCGTATTCAACCCATAAATTAATGTAAATCTGGTGCAGGACGTTGCGCATGCTCAGGGTGGCCGTGTCAGTGAGCATGACGAACCTCAGGTTGGAGGGGGTCTCGTAGTAGTGCAGCTTGTAGCCCGAGGTCCGGTAGCTGATGAAGGCGTCGTCGTCGCCGCCGAGCTTGCGGACCATGTTGCGCAGGGAGAAGACGGTGCCGAAGACGAGCTTGGCGTCGTCCGAGCCCAGGCCCGTCTGGTTGCCGCGGCGGAGCTGCTGGGACGGAGGCGCGGCGGCGGCACCGGCCGAGGAGGACGGGGGCGGTTGTGGTGGTTGTGAGGTCGGGCGGTCGGCGGCGGGGAGCCATGTTTTCAGGTAGATGCATTCCGTGTGCCGGTCGAAGATGTAGAAGGAGTAGACGACCATACTGGGCGGCGCGGCCCCGGGGGGGGCGGAGGAGAGGATGTCGGTGAGGTGAGGTGCTTTGGAGGGGGATTGTGAGGGATCAGGGTCCCATGCCGTTCGGGGAGGTCCTTCGCGACGAGGATGGAAGCTTCGGCGGTCGTGAATTGGCTCGGAAAAGGTTCGTCGTCGTCGTTGGAGTGCGAGCTGTCGGAGCTCTGGTCGTGTGCGCAGGGGAAGGTGTCCAGGTGTCACAGGCCGAGATATGTCGCTGGGGAAGACGGCGGACGCTTGACGCGGGACTGGCGAATGAGCGGGCGGCTCAGCGGTGCCCCGGGCCCCCGAATCGCGGCTACGGTACCTCTTTCTGGCGACCCTGGAGCATGCCCGTCAGCGAACAGGGGGGCCAATGGCGGGGCAGCTGTGTTCCTGCTGACGGCGGTGGAGCTTTTGAAGCCTGAATGGCGCCTTTCGTTTTTTTTTTCCCTTCCATTTTACAGAGTACTGCGCCCAGATGGAGGGGTTTGCGCTGGGCTGCCTGACCGGCTGGCCCTACGAGGAAGCCGCTAAGCCCACCTGCTGTGGCCTGTCAGGCTGTTTTTTCAAAACGCGCGCCCAATGACAGCGAGTTGAGGCGCCGAAACTGATTAAATGTTACGCGGTCCATGGGATCGCCGATGGATAACACGGCATCAAAATGGATGCTGAAAAGCCTTGGGGAACCGGGGACTTGGACCGGGACTTTCTCTGACTTGTGAGTCCTTGAGTCCTGACGGAACTGACGTGGGGGCTGGAACGGGAAGAGCTGAGAACATGACGCCCTTGTTTTTTTTTCTCTCTCTGTCTTCTGCCCCATCTCCCTGTGATTCTTTTGGTATTTTTAAAGCTCGCGTCAGCTTGAGTCGCTCTCGCAAATCCATTCCCTGGTTTCGTTGTTCGGTCGCTTTCGGTTTTCACACGCTTAGGTACCTACTTCATAACGGCGCCAACTCCGTCACACCTCGGTCGCAGGCACGCAACTCGGGAAAGCTCAGCTGAGCTCTGCTCTCCCTCACACAACCCCCCACCTCTTGCTCTCCAACTTCTGTCATTTCCAAACCTGAGCTCGTCTTCAACATTTTCCAACTCGTGCAACACACACACACAGCCTCGCGCTGGTGACAACAACAATGTCTGAGCCAGGCGACCCTCAGACCCCGCCGACGACGGCCATGGCCTCGACGACCCTCTCCACCACCGGCAGCTTCCCCTCGCCTACCATCGCAGTAGGTTTTCACGGCGAAGGAGGTGTTGAAGCTCGCCCGTCGCTCGCCGCCCATATGTACGTCAGTCGTCAATGACAAGCCTCTCTTTTGCTGCGATGCAACTTGCACAGCCTCCCCCACGCTCCACAAGCTGGCAGCAAGCACTCTAACCTTCGTCGCCTGTACGGAGTAGATCCGATTCGGCCGCCCAGCCGACAAAGTTCCAGAGTCCCATGAGGCATCACCGTCGAACACCCTCTGCCCATCGCGAGGTCAAGGTGCGTCAGCGTCGAAGGGCTGCCCCGCTGCGCTGATGTGTGGTGGGGGCGGGGTAGCTAGCATCGACCACCACCACCAGCCGACTGACGAGACGTAGGAAACCCTCGACGCCGTGACTGAGTATGGCAGCGAGGGCCAGGATGGACGGAGTAATCACCGCATCAACCAGTACATCATAAAGCAGGAGATCGGCAGGGGCTCCTACGGTGCTGTCCACCTCGCGACCGACCAGTTTGGCACCGAATATGTAGGACCTTCTCGCTCTCTCGACCGTAGTCAAGCTCACGTCGCCTAGGCTGTCAAGGAGTTCTCCAAAGTTCGGTTGCGCAAGCGGGCGCAGTCCACTATGTTGCGCCAAGGTGCTCGCCGACCCCAACGGTTCGCTCGTGTAAGCCTCAACGCGCCCTTGTCGGCGCATTTTGGAGATTTCCAGGAGAACAAGACCACCGCGAGCGCCAGCGACGCCCTGTTCTTCATCAGAGAAGAGATTGCCATTATGAAGAAGCTGAACCACCCGAACCTCGTACAACTGATCGAGGTGCTCGACGACCCGGAGGAGGACTCGTTGTACATGGTCCTGGAGATGTGCAAGAAGGGCGTAGTTATGAAGGTCGGCCTGAACGAGAAAGCCACCCCCTACAGCGAGGATTCTTGCCGTTACTGGTTCCGAGACCTGATTCTCGGCATCGAGTATTGTAAGTCGTGGTATGACCCATTTCGTAGGCATGTGTTGACATGGTTCAGTGCACGAACAAGGCGTCATTCACCGTGACATCAAGCCGGATAACCTCCTCCTGACTGAGGACGACGTTCTCAAGGTTGTGGATTTCGGAGTCTCAGAGATGTTCGAGAAGCCCGGAGATGGCATGATGACTGCCAAGTCAGCCGGCTCGCCCGCATTTCTTGCCCCTGAGCTCTGCGTAGTCAGACATGGCGATGTGGATGGTAAAGCCGCCGACATCTGGTCCATGGGTGTTTCGCTTTACTGCCTGCGCTATGGCAAGATTCCTTTCGAACACGATGGCGTGCTGGAAATGTACGAAGCCATCAAGACCGAGTCTCCGAGCATTCCCGACGACGAAAACCCCGACTTCGTAGATCTTATGAACAGAGTCTTGGAGAAGGATCCCAAAAGCCGCATCCCGATGACCGAATTGAGGGTGCGTACAACAGCTATCCGTCTTTCGACATTGCTAACGAGACAAAGGACCATCCTTGGGTCACGAAAGGTGGCGCCGATCCCTTGCTGTCCAAGGAGGAGAACTGCTCAGTTCTTATTGAGCCCCCAAACGAGCTCGAGCTGAACCGCGCTTTTACGCGGAAAATGAATCATCTCCTCTGTGTGGTAAGTGAGGACGTTCGTCGCAGGGACATCCCTAACCTCGTGATAGATGAAAGCGATCCACAAGTTCAAGACTATCCTCATCAGGCGGAGACAAAGACTCAAACCTGAAGCAACCTCGCCAAGGGATGACGGCAGTAATCAGCCGTCCAACCAAGACAGGGATGCAGCTCGAGAAGCAGAAATCGAAGCCCTCGTCGCAAAACGTCGCGAGTTCTTGAAGAAGCAAGGAGGCGGCGATGCTCAGAGCGGCGATACGAACGAAAGGTCCGATAAGGAACCGCTGATCCTTGGTATCGGCCTCGGTGCCAGAGACGAGTTCGACAAGAACGAGCCGTCGGCAGGTGCCGTAGCCGAGTCGCCGACCAACGTAGACTTCAACATTTACGACAAGGCGTACGAGGCCGAGGTGGAGCGCATCATGTCGAAACCGAAGAGACAAACGACCATGTACCTGACGCGGTTTGTCAAGGATCGCGAACACTACAAGGAGGTCGCCAATGTCATTGAGGGGACGTCCGCCGCCGTTACACCAGCCGGAACACCGAAATTTGATACCCACCAGGCGGCATCGAAGGGCCGGTTTGCGGACTTGGTGTCCAGCATGACGGGCAAGGGCAAAGCTGCTGAGGCCGAGGACGAGGAGAAGTAGACGCAGTGCGGCCGCATCGGATTACTGCGAGGTCGCGGCTTGGCGTTTTGGATATCCGGGGTTGTCGGATTGAGTGTTTGAGTTTCCTTTGAAATATGATACCTGTTCGTGGTCTGATTAATGGAAACTTTGTTTGCTGATGGAAAGTTTGTGACAGGCGTTTTGTTTGCTGGCGCTGCGCTGCGGCGGTCGCGGTTGATAATCTCTCGTGAAATTGGGAGTCGTTCCGGACGGCCGTGCTTCTTAGGCGAGGATAGAAGGTATTTCTGGAAGCTGTGGAACGCCCTGTTAAACTGGGGAACAGCGCGTGGCCATGTCGTTCGGCCGAAGACATCATCACCCATTCCGTCCCTTCATCTCTCTTGCCGAGAGTGGTTTCCACGCTAGTTGTCCATCCCCTGTGGAGATAACCAATCGCGCGGGAATGAGGCACTCTAGGGAATTCCAACCGACGCAAGGGGGGGCCAAGAGCTCCAGACCTGCAGTCAGCTTTGCTTCCTTTTTCGCCTTCTGGCCCCCAATTTACCAATGCACCGCACCACCTTCGGAACTTGCGAGCCAGGCATTCTCCTTCCCCAGTCCCAGTCCATAGGCAATACCGAAAGTAAATATTGATTGCTTTACGACCTTCGATGGCAGCTACCATCTCCTTCACTCGCAGACTGTTCTCCAACAGGAAAGATCAGAGCCCCGATAAAATACCACAAGACCGAGACGTCTTCATCATGCCTCCCGACGACGACACCTTTGCGTCAAATAGCCTGCCCTCGGGCTTTTCGGTGAGAAACACACACTCGAGTGGCTACTCGCGGAGCTCCTACTGAACAAGCCTCTACCAGCTTCTCAGGCGATCTTTTGTTCCATCATTCTCACTATCAAGCAAGCGGTTCAGCGCGCCAGCGCCTCCCTCGGTCAAAAACACCATGCCCAGTCGATGTCAGGCATGCCGAGATCTGGACATTTGGCGAGCCACGGACCGGCTTCCGGGGTACACACTATCTGCTCTGGTAGACGGTGTCGTACTCGCCCGGCTACGAACTTTTGAGGACCCCAAGGACTGCGATTTATGTCAGCTCTTCTCCAAGCTGTACGTCGACATCGATCCGGCAGCATCCGGCTCGGTTCACACGGCGGAATTACGAGCTTTCCCACTCGTGCCGCACATCGCTTTGCGATCGCACAGGCAAGGGTTCTGGAAAGGGGACAAGAGTTACTTGTTCGAATCAGAAGATCTGACCGACTTCTTCCTTGCCGTGGTTCCGGCGGATTTCACCCACACAGGGGGCAGAGACAACTCACGACTGGAGAAGCTTGTGGCCAAGCAGGGCCTCGTAATGTGGCATCGTGAAATTCAGAAGAATACACGCATCTTCTCCCCACGAATAGTCACGCCTCAATTTAACCCCCGAGTTGTCGTGGAGTGGCTGGACTGCTGCACAAAACATCACACAACTTGCCATCGCGGGCAAGGCGCTCTGCCGAATATGAAACTCATCGACTGCGAAAGCCGGAGAGTCATCACAGTAGAGTCTTTGCCCGACGATGGGCACCCAGAATACGTTGCCCTGAGTTACGTATGGGGAAAGAGTACGAGTAGCCTCCTGGAGTTCACGGACACGGGAACGTCATTACCCAGGAATCCACCACAGGTGATCGAAGATGCCATGAAGGTCACAACAGCACTTGGCTATCGGTACATCTGGGTCGACAAGTACTGCATCGACCAGCACGATAGCGGCAAGAAACACGAGCAAATCATGCACATGGACTTCGTGTATCAGAATGCTGCACTTACAATAGTTGCAGCAGCCGGAGACGACGAGACGCATGGTTTGCCAGGGGTTTCGACAGAAAGGCCATCACAGCAGAGCTTCTTCCCACACGAACGATTCAACCTTCGCTCAGCTCTTCCGTCACCTCAACAAAATATTCTGAAATCGCGATGGGCAACGAGAGGCTGGACGTACCAGGAGGCTGTCCTGTCGAGCCGACGTCTTGTCTTCACCCAAGACCAGCTTTACTTCGAATGCAGCTCTATGAACTGCCACGAGAGTCTACGCATATCTTTCGACGCGTTATATCGGAAGCGGAGATCCCATCTCGACGACTACATTGGCCGCTCTCTCTTCGGATCTGAACATCTAACACACCGCACCGGGAATTACGATGAGACGTCCAGACTGAACAAGTTCGTTGCTTATCTGCAGTGCGCTGAGCAGTACTCGAGGCGAGTATTGAGTTTCGACGAAGACGGCATGAATGCTTTTGGTGGGATTATCAAGCGGCTAGAGTCGACAACAGACTTCCCGGTGCGACAAGTCTGGGGTATCCCGTTTTTCCACCCGAAAGACGACATACTTGCTTCTGTTGGCAATGTGGACTATTCAGGGTATCTTCTGGCAGCTCTCTCTTGGAGACATGAACTGTACAAGCCCACGAGGAGACGCAAGCAATTCCCTTCGTGGTCCTGGACTGGGTGGGAAGGTTCAGTAACGTGGCCAAGACCGTTGGACTCTCACAGCATCAGCAGCTCAGAAGACTTTGACATGGCCAGTGTTCAGCTACACCTTGAAGACGGTACCACAGTTTCCCTGTCCGGCCTTGACCCGCGAAGTCCTGGTCTAAACTTCTCTCAGCCGAGGGCGCTTCTTATCCACACATTTGCCGTTCCTCGGACTGCTTTTATCTCCGATGGTTCCATTCACAGCATGCGGCTTGCTAATGGAGGAGAAGTTCGACTCTACCCCAGCAAGGAAGACCTGGACGCCCCAAAAGTGCTCAAGAGGATTCAAACCGGACGCTACGAGGCCATCAGACTGGGCACCATCAACGACGACGCCTACATGATGCTGATTAAGTGGTATCGCAACTCGGCATACCGGATCGGCACACTAGTTGTCAATAAGTTCTACCTTACATACTACGCGCCTGTAGCGAGAACGTTCAGAATCAAATAAAGCACACTTTTCGTTACGTATACCCGACATAATTGACATAGAAGTTCAGCGGCTTCGGCTGACTTGGAATGCTCGGATAGTCACTCCGGATTCACCCCATACACCTCATGTTCGTTTTATGCGGGGGAAGACAGCGCAGTGATAGTTGTAACGACGATAAGCCAACGGGATTTTCAATTGCACGATCCGTCCAGGAAGACATTTCCGCTATTGGAGACTACCATCTACCTAGGCAGGTGGTCAATCGTCCTACACACTGAAGCAAGGCTATCAGGATGTTAAGGAGTATCGTTTGATTACCTTTTTTCCAAGATCCCGGCAGAACCAGGCTGCGATGACACCAAAGATACAGCATCCTAAGCCCAGTTCAGTTGGTCGGATCATCAGCCAATCACACAAAATGGGGCTGGGGAGGCATTGCATACGCAGTGGACTGCGTCGTTGGTTGGTTGGTGGGAAGACATCAGGCTGCGGTCAGCTTTGCCGCCCAGCAACCCCTCACGATTATCTACCTCACAATTATGTTTTCTTGATATTGAGTTCTCTCCAGCAAGCAATTCTTCACCCAGCCGACATGTCTGATCCTTTGTCGGTCGCTGGAACTGCTGTGGGAATCGTGTCGCTTGGCCTGCAGGTTGTCCAAGGACTTTACGACTATTGCCGCGCAGTCAAGAACCAAGATGCCGACATCGCTCACACCACCCAAAAATTGGCGCATCTCCTCGAAGTCCTGAATAGCGTGAGTCAAGTACTCGAGAAGCGAAAGTTTCGAACATGCGATCGTGGCACCATCGCCGCTGTCGAAGGTCGCATAGTTATCTGCGAGAAGAACATCAATGAACTCCAGGACGAGGCCAATAAGTTCGGACCGCGCAAGTCTGGCAGCGGGTTGACCGCAACGAAAGCTCTGGCCCGCCAAGCATTTTACCGATTCCGGCAGAGCACATTGCAGTCGCTTGAAAAGAACGTGGATGAGACTGTCAATCATCTTTCATTTGCACTGCAGCTGCTGCAGCAAACGGATGTCAGCAACATCCGAGATCACATCGAAGATAGTACAGCTTTGCTTGGCTTGATGAGGGCTGGGCAAATCAACAGAGATATCCGAGGTTGGCTCAAGGCTCCCGACGCTACAATTGACTTCAACAGCGCTCGCAAGAAGAGTCACCCCGGAACAGGACTCTGGCTCGTAAACGACGACCGCTTCTCGACTTGGCTCGAAGATCCAAACTCTTTCTTGTGGATCAACGGTTTTGCTGGTTCTGGCAAATCAGTTCTGAGCTCCACGGCCATTCAGCACACCTTTGCCAGGCGGGCGACCGCTTCAGGGACGGGAATCGCTTTCTTTTTCTTCACTTTCCGCGATACGAGTAAACAGAACCTCTCTTCTTTGCTCCGAGCGGTGGTGCTACAACTATCTGGGCAACTTGACAATGACTCAACTCTTTTCAAGCTTCACAACACCTATATCAACGTCACACCACCAGACGATGCCTTGTTTGACTGCCTCAAGAGCCTCGTACAATCATTTCAACGCGTTTACATCATTATAGACGCTCTTGACGAAAGTCCGCGGGATAAGCACCGCGAAGATGTGTTAGAGGCCTTGCAGAGCCTTCGCACTTGGGCTGAGCCGCGTTTGCATCTCCTCGTCACCAGCCGAGACGAGGTCGACATTCGAGATGCTCTTGAAGTCTCAGCAGAGGAGTGTGTTGCTATGAGCAATGAGTCTGTAAACGGTGACATTGCTTCATATGTTGCCCAACAACTCCGGGAACAGCGACAGCTTCGGAAATGGGAAGACTTCCATGAGCGGATAGAGACTGTCTTGACTGAGCGGGCAAAGGGAGTGTAAGTCGCGCTCCCTCGTTGAGAAGTACTTGCTGATTATGGGTCTAGCTTCCGATGGGTTGACTGTCAGTTAAGGGCGATTGCTAACTGCCCACGGAGCGAGGACTCGCTCGACCAACTCCTCAAATCACTCCCTCAGTCACTGGACGAGACCTACGAGAGGATGCTTCGCTCAATTCCGCCCACCTCTCAGCAATATGCTCGGCAGATTCTCCTCATACTTTGTTGTGCCGACAAGCCTTTAGAGGCTGATGTCATCTGCGATGCTCTTGCTATTGAGCTTGAGCCTGAGCCCAGATATAACGCAAAGCGGAAACTGAAAGATACCGATTCCATCTTGGAAGTTTGCCCAGGATTCTTCGATATGTCGATCAAAGACTCATACAACGCGAAGGTAAAATACCTTGCAATTGCTCATTTTTCTGTCCAAGAGTATCTCGAATCAGACAGGATACTTCAACAACCTAGCCTTTCATATTTCCACGTTAGGTGGCCTGACGCTAATGCGGAAATGACACGCATGTGCTTGACGGCCTTACACGAATGGCATTCCAAACCTCGGTCAGCGAAGCACCAATTCGCAAAATCCTATGCACGAAACAACTGGCTGAAACACTATAGAGAGTGTCACGAGAATCTGTCCGCTAAATCACATTTACTCCAACTTTTCCAAGGTCCGCCAGATGTTCTCCTCAATTTAGACAACCGTTATACTTTGCCGCAGAAAATAAATGCGTCGTCTGCAATTTTTATGGCTGTAGATTGCGGTTTGGACTCAATTGTGGCTGCGCTGCTCTTCGACAACAACGTCAAGGTGGACGAAGTACAACAGTTTCCTGAATATCCTTACGACAGGACTGCTTTGATGAGTGCGTCAGAAAAGCTTTCGGCCAAGACAGTGCAGCTTCTCATCGACCGCGGTGCAGATGTCAATTTTGCTTCTGCTAAAGGAACCCCTTTGATGAGCGCAGCGCGTGCTGGACGGATGGAAACAATTCTGCTCCTCCTGGAAAATCACGCTGACATCAACCTTGGTGCTAGCAATGGTGAGACGCCATTGATATCGGCAGTGAAAAGGGGTCGTGAAGATGTCGTTCGGCTCTTGATCGACCGCGGCGCCGATGTCAATGGTAAAGGTGGCCACCGCACCCCACTACACCATGCTGTGAGGAAACATGACAACAAGATTGCCGGATTGCTTATTGAGCATGGAGCCAGACTCGATGCTCTTGCCGTCGATGGTGTCAGTGTATTGCAGGATGCCATATATTATGGAAATGGGGATATCGTCCGCTTTCTTCTGGAACGCGGTGCTAACCCGAACATCGAGGGTGACCCAGAGATATGTGCTCACACCACTCTCTGCTGGGCTGGAATATATAGCAAGTCGGATGTTGTGCGCCAACTCCTAGAACACGGTGCTCACCCCTACATATCAAGATCCTCAAAAGTCACCGTCCTACAGTACGCAGCAGGGAACGGTGACGACGAGACCGTAGCCGCTTTTATCGAAGCCGGTATGGACCCTACCAGCTGCGGCCCGGTTGAGGAACATGACGGCAGGTACGCTGGGAACGCACTGGATATTGCGAGGCGTAATGGTCGTCAAGACGTGGTCGAGTACTTGGAGAGGCTTCCACAGTTTTCTCACTCGGGCGGCAGGGAGTTTGATTCCTGATGGACTTCACAGCGCGTTTGTGGGAAGGAGAATGAAGGGCGGCACTGGTCTTTTTGTTTTCGAAACCTCATGAGTAACGACATTCCTTGGAATTAATAGTTGCAGCAATACATTATCACTCGTTTCGTCTGGGTAAACATATCAGATACGACCGAAGGTTCACGACGCCTGATATCGGGAACATGGTGAAGAAGTGAACAGCCACAAACCTGAGTAGAACTTCTCCTCAGTATATCAGAAGTTGAACGGTGGTCATCATTATATCTCCATAACCCCAGACAGTCTGCCGAGTCTGACGACTTAATAGTGAAAGCCGAAATCGTTGCCGACACCCGCGAGAAGGAGTTCGAGGGCAGAGGGAACTTGCAGCATGTCCATGCTATCCGCGTCCGCGTTCAAGCCCAGATCGTCTCCCACAAACCCGGTGCCGTAGATATGGCTATGATGAGCAATGTCCCCGGCCAGCTGCTCCTGCTCCTGACCACCAATGCCAACATGGCCCAAGTAGGCGGGCGCGGAGCTGGGAGGTTGTCCTTGGGCACCGGCCAGTGCGTTGGAGACCGAGCTGTTGAGAACGCTGTTGCCGCCGATCCCGAGGTGTTCCGAAGGTTGAGAGGTATGAGCGAGCACGTCGCCCTCTCCCTCGGTCCCAGTTTCCGCCCGGTTGGGAGCAGCCACCCCGTTTCCTCCTTCAAATAACGCCAGGAGGCTCTGCGCGTAGAGCCACTGCCCCTTGAGCGCGTGCAGCGTGAGGATGAGCGAGTCGAACAGGCGTTTCGACTTGGCCGCGATGAGCGGGTTGTCCGACTTCATCTGGTCCGAGACGTGCACGAGGGCCGTGAAGAGCATGTGGATGCTCGGGATCCAGATCTTGGTCAGCAGGTTCCTCTTGCGGAGGGACTCGAAGATGGAGCAGATGGTGATGGCCGCGTCGCAGCAGATGCTCAGGTCCGTGTCCGCGGCCGGGGCCGGGGCCGGGGCATCGGCTTGCCCCTCCGGGTGGTCTCGGTTGGGCGACGGCCGGTGGAGGAGGATCAGGAAGTTGTTGTACGTCAGGTGGAAGATGGCCTGCCAGGGGTCCGGGTCAGACCGCGAGTGCTGGAGCCTCTCGGGGAGGTTGGTGATCAGCTCGGCGAGGGCGGTGTCGGCTTCGGCGGTCGCGGCGGCGCGGTCTGCGGGTGTCGAGCGCAGCGCGACTCTCTTCTTCATGGCTGATGAGACGATGATGCAGAGGCGGGTTTGCTGGATGGTGAACTCGTGTTCTGGGTCGGTGATGCCTTCGAAATGGTGTTCCTCGAGCTCTGGTACGTCGGACTCGTCGAGGTTGCTGCACATATCAGTTGCTGTTAGCTTTTCACATAGACGAAGAAGAAGAAAAAACATCGGCGACTGGCAACTACTTGCATGGCTTGAGGTCGACCGTACGAGGCGGAGCCCAAGACGTCAAACTGGAACAGAATCCACCACAGCCGGACCCAGAGGCGTTTGTCCATGGCGTTGAGGCTCGACGGCCTCGCGTCGCGGTGCATGCCCATGCCGAACGCCGTCCGGGTCGCGACGCCCACCCAGTGCCAGGTGTTGGACACGATGTCCTCGAGGTCGTCACATTGCCACGTCAACAGGAGAGAAGCTTGCAGGTAGGTCTCACGATGCTGTTCGAAGCGGCTGTCAAATAGCGCCTTTGTCCTCCTAAAGAAGACGGGTCTGAGGGCTTTGATCTCCTCTCGCACCGGGTCTAGCACGCGCGCCCCTACGAAAAAGATGGCATTCAGCAGCAAGAGGGATATCGGCCGGCATTGCGGGCGACATCTCGGGAAGTGGCCGGTGTGCTCGGAGCCGTTGTAGATTTTCATGAAGTCTTCTTCGTCAATGATGGGCAGGCCGCGATTGACGTGAACGAAGTACGTCTTGATGAGTTCATCGGCCAATGCCTTCGGAGGGAGCTCGAGAACCTCGGCCGGTACGGCTGGTACTTTGGGGGCCAGCGGATGGCTTCCGAAATGGAGCACCCTCGGATCCGGCCTTTTGGAGCGCTGCCGGACCAGGTAATGGAGGTTGGAGAACTCTGTTCCGATGAAGAAGAGACGCCCACACCGAGTGATCTCTGGATACTCGGCATCCTGCCGGTTCAGGAAATCAGCCATGTTGCGCGTGGCATCATCGCCGGCGCGGGCCGTGGCATCGCTTGCTGAGCTCGGCCGAGGGGCAGAGCTGGCCGTAACGTCCGCCCATGGACTAGACGCAGCGGGAGTTGCAGGTGCCGTCGCGGACTGGGAAGTTGATCGGGGTTGAATGGGAACATGGGAGTTGAGAGCGGTGCGAGCCGAGAACCGCGTCTTCTTCTTCTCATAGATCCGACAATCGGGCACGTTGTTCGCCTGACATTTCGAACACGGGGCACCACCTTTCTCGAGAATGTCGCACTTGACCTTCCTCTGATGACATGTCAGGCAGGCTCTCCCGTCTGTAATGGCGCGGTTGAAAGTAAGTTAGAATGGGGCTCTGAGACAAGACGTGGACGGGAACGGGAGAGGAGCAAAAGCCGAGATCGGGGTCCATACTGGTTCTCGATCTTTTTGACATTGGGCCGGGATGCGCCCTACGCCCGACACGCCCTTCGCTCACCATTTCCGATCCGATTGACGAGATGAGGGGCTCAGATTTACCGAAGAGGGCCACAAAGGTTGCAAAGATTGAGTCGAGTTACCGGCGTTGCTTGTGAAAAGATGTAAGTCGGAAGTTGTCCACGGCTCCAGATTGTGGATAAAGCAAAAGCCGAAGCTCGGGAGTTTTGTTGGCAATTCCCTGGTTTCGGCAGAATTGGCCAATGAAAACGGCAGATACTGAGCTTTGTCAGCGGTTCGGTTCACGACTCCAAAGACTCGGCGAAACAGGCCAATGGACTTGCACCGTCTTCCTGCGCAGAAGTGGCAACCAAACTAGCACACGAAACTGTCTTTGAGCCACAAGGAAGGAAACCGACAGGAACGTACTATGGATCGAGTAAAAATTTCAAGCGGTCAATGAAACGTAATGTGCGTAAGAATGAGGATACTTAAACTCCAGCCGCTCTCTTGCGGTGGTGGAGACTTGAGTTCTGTTCTTAGGCCAGATTAAAAGCTCTTCTCTCATCAAATTCATAGAGATTTAGTTGCAGGCTCATTCAAGAAAGCAAGAATGGGTACCGACGCGGAGCGCCCAGGAAGTGGCTTTACAATGAGCGTTCAACCACGTACAGATGTGGATGAGTCGGGAAACATGTCGGATGATTCATCATGGGAGAAGACTGAGATGGTTGATGCTACGAAACTATCGCCAGTAAGTCCAGTCAACTGAAATGACAACTATGGAAAGTGGCATTGACACAATTCAGATGCGAAAACTTCACATCGTAATTGCCGGCTTCACATGCACTTTCAACGGAAACTTGGGTTCCTCGATGCCCTCAGGCGCCCTCGACGCGATCAGCGCCCACTTCGGTGTGACAGACCGCGTCCATCTCATCCTTCTCAACTCCCTCTTCATGGTCGGATACGTGATAGGCCCTCTCGTCTTCGCCCCTCTCAGCGAATACATCGGCAGGAGGCCCGTCCTAATCGGCACGTTCCTGGGCTATCTCGTCTTCATGCTCGCCTGCTCAGGGGCCCCGAACTACCCCGCCCTCCTCGTCTTCCGCCTTCTGAGCGGCATCAATGCCGCCGCCCCGACGAGCGTTCTCGGCGGGCTCTACGCCGACATCTTCGACAACGCCTCGACTCGCGGGAACGCCATCGCCGTGTACATGACCGTCACCACCATCGGCCCGCTGGTCGGGCCCATCATCTCGGGATTCTCGTCGACGATGTCCTGGCGCTGGCCGTTCTGGATCGCCGGTATGATCGCAACCCTCGGCTTGCCCCTCGTCCTCACTCTCCCCGAGACCTACGCGCCGGTTTTGCACAACAAAGCTGTCAAGAGGCGTCTGAAGAAGCACGCCTCCGATGTCGACGGCGGAGAGCAGCTCGAGCTGAAGCCGTTTGACGTGCAGAAGATTTTCCTTCGCCCGGTCACGCTTCTCGTTACTGAGCCGATTCTGTTCTGCACTTCTGCGTACCTCACGCTGGCGTATGCGGTCTTCTATCTCATGTTCCAAGCGTATCCCGTCATTTTCCAGAAGTTTTATGGACTCTCTCCGGGAGTGGCCGGCTTGGCTTTCTTACCCCGTAAGTCACGTTCGTTGTTCACAAGTCACTTCTATACTAATGTGCCTACAGAGGTTGTCGGTGTAATCTTCTCACTCTTCGTGTTCGGTGCCTTTACGTGGTATCACGACAAACAGACAGCAGCTGGCGCGGAGTGGACCAAGAACGAGATCTACCGCAGACTGCCTCTCGCATGTCTGGCCTCTCCATGGTATGCACCCCTCTCAATCGACCACACAGAGCATGCCAACTAACTTCCTGCAGCATGGTAATCTCCCTCTTCTGGCTCGGATGGACCGTCTGGCCCTCAACCTCCCCGATCGTACCGATGATGAGCGGCATCCTCTTCGGCTGCGGCTTCCAGCTGCTCTTCATGGGCATGATCAACTACCTGACGGACGTCTTCCGCCAGTACTCGGCCTCGGCACACGCAGCTGCCAGCATGACGCGCTCCATCGGGGCGATCACGCTTCCCCTCGCGGCCAACAGCATGTACACCAATCTCGGGGTGCACTGGGCGCCGTCGGTTCTGGGCTTCATCGCGTTGGCGATGGGTGTGATTCCGTTCGTCTTCATCAGGTACGGCGATCGCCTCGCGCGTAGTAGCAGGACAGCCCGCGAGTTTTCGCGATAGAGGAGAGGTCGTATATATATTTAATGTATAATGAAATGATTTCGTAATCGAGAAAGCTTCAAAAGTGTTGTCTCACTCGGAAGACTGTTGCAAAGACGGCTGAAGACTAGAGGGTTTCCATGGGTACACTATCTACCTGACTATCATCCCCAAAGTATCTCGTCATTCTTTTCATTGAGGTAGATACCTGGGACCAGTACAATCATTGTTCTCTTTGTATTTCTGAAGTTCACTTGCGAGCAAAGCCTTGTCATCGTGATAGCCATCACGAATGCCCCCAGGCTTCTCCCTTCGCGCCATATGCGCCTTAAACTCCGGCCAGTCCCTGTCGCCATACTCGAGGTCCAACTGCCGGAGGCCAAGTTTGGACGCGTACACCTCGTACGCGAATATCCTCAGCTGGTCCGGGAAGGTCGGGTCGGCATAATGCTTAACCACGTCCTCCTCTCTAATCGTGCGTACTAGGTCGCTCCACTGGCCGTGGGCCGCCTCGAACTCGCTGAGTTTCTTATGCTTCGGCGGGCGCAACCCGAACTTGCAGCAGTTGTCCCGCATTGCCGGGTCCCACCAGGGCGGCAGCAGGCCGCCCGGCTTCTTCTCCACCAGGTCCAGAAACCGCTTGAACCCGTGCAACCCCCCCATCTTGTACAGTTCACCCATCCGCAACCGGTACGCGTCGATCAGCAGCGTGAAGACGTCCAGGAAGGGCCGGTCGTGCAGCCAGGTGCCGTTGTCGAGGCGCGTGAAGGGGTTGGTGACGGTGGGCACGATCAGGACGGTGTCCCGGCCGCTTGGGGCGTCGTCATCGCCCTCTTGCTGCTTGCCGCAAATCTTTTTGTGGGGTTTGTGGTTGAGCTTTTTACAACGACAGCTGCAGTAGAACGTTCTGCTGCACTTCCTACATTTTGTGAATTTGGACGTCGCTTCCCGCTCGGCCTTTCCACACACCTTGCAGAGGCGGTCGGGAATCATTGTCGGAGAGTATATGCGTGCGAAGTTTGGTCGGAAAATGTGAAAGATGGAGTCTGCGCGAGGAGCTGTCGATAAGAGGATTAAGGTCGATAAGGGAACCAAGGCCCAGGGCGAGACAGGCGAATTTTATGGCCAATTGGATCATCATTTTACCCGTTTTCGAGGGCTCTCCCCGTCCGCCCACTCGCTGGGCTTCCCCTGACGGGTAAATATCCAAATCGAGGGTATTGTGGACATTGATGTTGGACGATCCACATCGGCTGGGTACCTTACTCAAGTAGGGATGTTGAGCGGATCTTGTATCTGGTGTCAATCTGCGGTACTTGAAATTCGGATCTCCGTCCGTTCCGATGTCCCGCTAAAAGCGGGGCCGACCCGGCGCCATACACAGGACCCACATGGTCCGGCGCCCCGGGCTAGCGTTACTTTAGGCACGTCCAGCAAAAAGGGCAAGGGAGACTCGTCCTTCGCAAAAGTTCTAATGGATTGATGATTGAAAACAGCATCGGGCGTTTGTTATGGTATTTCTGGCGGCCACTGCAATGACGGCCCGCGACTAGAAGGTTAAGAAAGATGGGCTATCGACCTACTTCTGATCTTCAACACCTCTCGCTCTACCTTCGAAAGAAGGCACCAGAGCCTACAGACATGGATTTACTAACGTACACGCGTATTGATTCATTTTCAAACACCCGTTGGCGGTCGTCGACCCATTGGCTGCATAACTGTCCAGTCACATTACATGACATTGTTTTCTGCGATAATGACAACGACAATGACATTATTCTCATTCAAACACAGCATCGAGAAAAGTCCCGGTTGTACATGGTGTAGTCGATCCATCTCGTCGACTTGAGCGCCTCGGCCCCGTCCGCCTCGGCCTCCATCCTCACCAGCGCCTTCCTCAGCGGCGCCCCGTTCAACCCGCCGGGCCCGCTCCCGTATACCGCCTCCGCGAACATCCTCAGCTGCAACGGAAACCTCGCGTCGCCGTAATGCTCAGCCACTTCGCTCTTCTCGACCGGGACCCCCAAATCCGCCCACACGTCCCGTCCCTCCCAGTTCAGGCCGAACTCCTCGCACGCCTCCCACTTCTCGTTGCCCCACCACGGCGGGAGCAGGCCCGGCTTCTCGCGCGCCTTGATCACGAACCGCGCCAAACACGGTATGTAATCCCCCCTGCTGCCGAGCAGGCTGCTCTCGTCGCCGTTGCATCCGGCGTAGAACTCGTCCTCCTTGCGCAGGCGGTACGCGTCGATGAGGAGCGTGTAGGCGTCCGTCTCGGGCCGGTCGTGCAGCCAGGTGCCGTTGTCGAGGCGCGTGAAGGGCTTGGATATGGGACTCTTGAGGCCCCTGGGCGGGCTGAGCAGGGCGCCGCCGCCAGTCTGCTTCTTGCCGCACGTCCTCTTGTGGGATTTCCAGTCGGCACTTTGGCAGTCCTGGCCGCAGTAGGGGGTCGAGAAGCACTTTGAGCAGTTCTTGAGCTTGACCTCGGGCTCCGTCTTTTTGCAGGTGGCGCAGGAGCGGCCCATCTTGAAGGCGCGTGTATTAGGAGGGGAAGTGTTGGTGTGTGTATGTGTAAGGGAGTGGCTGAGTGTGACTGATGGGTGACGATTTTATTGCAGAATGAGCCTGCGTTGGGTGTGATGATGAGGACTTTAAAATGAGTGGAATGTGTAAGGGTTCAGGTTGAACCGCAAGGCATGCGTCGCCCGGTCAAGCCTCATTCCCCGTCTCTATCAGGGTCAAGGGAGGCAATAAGAGGGGTTATGTATCGTTTGATCGGATCAGTACTTTGCCCGTGCCGTCTTCGGTTTTACCTTAAGTCCCGTCTCACATTCTTTTTTGTGGTGTTGTACCATTATGGCATTTTTTGAAGTTTGCAGACAGAACTATGAAGTTCGGACATCCGATCGGGATCTTTCCCGTCCAGAGCGGGGCCGATCCGGTATCAAGTGTGGGGCCGTAAACCCGCTGCTTACGGCCAATTCCGCTTCAGGCACACTCAGCAAAAGGGGCAAGCGAGACTGCGACATTTCGCAAAAGTTTTATATGAAATTGTTTTTTGTATGGAAAATCAGAAAGAACTACCTTGTTACTAATTAGTACATGTAAACCGAAGCCAATATCGACAGTTTTGCAACAACTTCTTTCTACCACCACAGAATCTACTCACAAAAGAGATTCCAAAGAAGCCCAGAAACATATCTCGAGTCCAACGCCGTCATTCACGCGACACTTGCACATGACCAACCGACCAGCGGCGGCGCCCTCAGTTCTTCTTAATCTTGAGCACGATCCACGCCGCAATCCTGTACCCGGCAATGATCCCCATCATGATCCCCACGTCCCTCCCGAAGTGGTTCTTCGTGTACCCGTAGGTGTCCAGCACGCCCTGCCCGGCGATCTTGCACTGCGGCTCGAGGGCGGTGCGGTACATGCACTGGCAGCTCCCCCCGCAGTCGTACACGCGCTCGGCGAACTCGTTGTGCATCATGCCCTCGAAGACGTACTTCTGGTAGTCCCAGTAGTGGAAGACGTACTTGTAGAACGAGTTGAGGATGGTGGGGCTGACCATGAAGCCGTTGACGGACATCCACAGGCCGTTGGCGAAGGCGACGAGGGCGAGGCTGATGACGAAGCTGGGGAAGAGGGAGGTGAAGAAGACGACGAGGCTCTCGGCGGCGAGGAGGTCGAGGAAGAGCCACAGAACCCAGACGAAGAAGGCCGTCGCGGTCGGGCGGAAGTTGGAGAGCCAGTAGGATATGACGGAGAAGATGAGCGCGATGAGGAAGAGGTAGGGCAGGCCGATGAGGAAGTTGGAGATGAGCAGCGCGGTGGCGCCGTAGAGGCCGTTGTGGTGCTCCTTGACGTACTGGCTGCGGTCTTCGAGGAAGGCGGGGACGTAGGCTACGGCCATGAAGGACATGAAGGCGCCGCCGAAGAACTGGGGGAAAGTTAGCGGGAGTTGTGGGGGGAAGAGGGTGAACGGCTTACGATGGCGTTGGTCAGGGGAATTATGGATTCCTGGTTGGTGGATAGACGGACCCAGACTGTGCCCATCATGATGGCCAACCCTGCGCTTTCAGTCAGCGAATCTGCAAACGCGTCGTAGCGCGAGAAACTACTCACCAGTATACATCGCGAATCGGATCCCATACGCCACAACATCGCGATAACTCTTGATGAAGCTCCGATGCAGCAGCGTGAGGACCAGGCTGGGCAGCCCGGGCTTCTTCTCCTCCTCACCGAGCACGACGGGGTTGCTCTTCTGCTGGGCGTCGGCGATGGCCATCTTCAGGTCCCTTGCCGGGCCGGCCTCGCTCCAGGACTGGTGCATCGACTCGAGACGCGCGGCGGCCTGGCGCTTGTCCTTGACGAAGTCGACGTTGACGAGCTCGAGGAGGTGCTCGGCCGGGTTGACCTGCAGCGGCATCGGCATGCCCATGGACTCGTAGTAGGGCACGACGCGGTCGACGCCGCCGAAGTAGTGCGTCTTGCCGCCGGAGAGCAGGAGGAGCTTGTCGAAGAGGTTGAAGGTCGAGGTCGACGGCTGATGAATCGAGGCGATGACGATGAGCTGTTTTGATGTCAGCATGATCCGAAATTCACAAGTGAGAGTCAACATACGTTGCTTCGTCTGGCCACCGTTTTGAGGTAACTGATCACCTCGAAACTAGCCGCGGAGTCCAGCCCGCTGGTCGGCTCGTCGAGGAACATGATCTTAGGGCTGGTGATCAGCTGGCTCGCCACGCCGACGCGCCTCTTCTGACCGCCGGAGATGCCCTTGCGGATCGGGGTGCCGATGATGGTGTTGGCCTGGTCGTTGAGGCCGAACGAGTCGAGGAGGCCGTCGATGCGGGCGAGGCGCTCCTTGCGGGGGAGGGAGCTCGTGGAGGAGAGGCGGGAGGTGAAGAGCAGGGTCTCGCGGACGGTGAGGGAGCCGATGAGGGCGTCTTCCTGCTCGACGAAGCAGCTGATCTGGCGGAACTCGGAGCGGGACGGCTTGACGCCGTTGACGAGGACGGAGCCCTCGACGCTGGAGGCGTTGGTGGAACGGCCGGCGAGGACGTTGAGGAGGGTCGTCTTTCCGCAGCCGCTGGGACCCATGAGGGCGCAGATTTCTCCTGGAGGTTGTGTCAGTCCTCTGTTGCGAGGTATGAGAAGCACATGTGTCTTACCGGCCTCGACGAGACCATCGACTCCGTGGACGATGCTCTTGGGTTGCTTCGTCTCTCTGTCCTTGACGGTAACCTCGATGCCCTCCCACGAGATGTTCTGGACGGTGGTATTCATCAAGTGGGCATCCGTGGCCCCCATCATCTCCATGTCATGATGAAAGACCCCCTCGCTGTCGCTGTTCGTCATGTTGATGTGTTCCTTGGCAGGCTCGTAGTAGTCGTTGACGTGACCCTCCATAACTTCCGACTTCTCTCGAAAGGCGATTAAAAGATATTGATATAAGTAGGCAATTCACTTTGCCTTTTCCTACGTCATGAAATGTAAATTAAAGAAGACACAGTAAACTCAAGGAAATAATACATCAAGTATAGCCCCCCAAGAAGGGAAGGGATAATGTTTATTATACATGTCCCCACCGAGTTCCGGCCCCCAAAGAAACATTGCAGACCGGCATCCTGCAGGACCACGTTGTTTTGAGGCTGTCTGGATAGGCTTCAGCGCTGGCACGCACTAGGCGAGGTAATATTAGTAGTAATCGGCGACCAGGCAGTGTCACTCCAGAGAATCCGCCGAGACAAAACGGTGTGTGACTGGACAGATAGGCTAGCTGCTTGTCTTAGTCTCAGCTGGTCGTACCGCAGAATCTGGTAGGAGGAACAAAAAAAGGTGGGAACCTCGTCTGGAATGCTGTGCGCCGATGTAGATCCCTCGCATCTATCATTAATAGACAAAAAAGCCCCGATGGTGTCCTGCAAGGGATCATGATGGGCTGCTTGGCGGCCACGTCCGGGCCACTCGCGAGTTGCGTAGGTGTGTGTCGTGGACGTCAAGAAACCCCGTTGGGGTTGCTGGCGGCTCCCGATGGCCCGCACCGTCAGCAGCGATGTCACCCTTTCCTGTCAGTGCAAGGCGAAGCCGACAGCCGGGAAGCTTGGCCATTCGTAGGATGAGATAGATGGATACGGTACCCCCCTTGAGGATGAAATGTGGATGGCCCACGGCAGACAGCGCGTGTGCGTGGGTAGGACTCTCTTTTGGTCCCCGAGGGTTGGGGGTGCGGGCAACTTCAGATGACATCGTGGAGATGGACGCCGAAGTCCTCGGACGGGTCGCCGCGCCCTCGCTTACCCGCATCCAAAACCCCGGTCCCAGGCAGGCGGTGTCCCGCTGCTGCGGCACATGTAACGGTCAATCTGGGACGAATCGATTGTATTCCCTTTTTGGACAATCTCACTTCGCTCGATTTTCAACCCCCCGACCGAGGATCTCGTACGGCGGAATCGGGCCTAGCCTTCTGCAGATTAAGGACCCCGAATTCACGGGAAGATACGTCCCTCGTGGAACTGCCGTCATACGACATGCTGAGTCTAATTTGCTTTGCGTTGTGGAGATAGCCGATTCGGGCTTTCCGAGTGGTCGTCGTGATACCTTCATGTCGCGACAGCGGCCTCGCCGCAACGTCAAATACTCAATCGGCTGAATTCCAGGTTAGCAACGGGACTCACTGCAACGTCAAGTGTCACTGCTACCCACTCGAAGAGATCGCGGCCGAGATCCCTGGGTTGCATCATAGGGCTGCCAGGTCGTAGCCCGCGGGACAGTCCACAATATACGTCCTGATTTGCCACGTGGGACCTGTCGATGAGATCCAAGACTGGTTCTGGTGGGCATCAGCTTGCGAGACGGACGATTCAGCCCCGGTTTTAGTTTCGTTTCTTTTCGAAGCCATAGAACCCTCCGCGGTTTTCTTAATGAGATCCGAGACAGCTCCCCGAGAGCTAGTGCTCCCGTCGGGGATTCACGCGCTAGACACCGAGCAGTTGAGAATTGGTGTTGTTGACGTACATGCGAGTGGCTGGTGAGAAACTGAGAGGTTCAAAATCAAGAACAGACTGAGAGAGAAGCCTGTCGGCACCCTCCACAAGGGGACCATTTTGTATTAGCCATGATATAAAATCTGAGCAGAGTTGGTTCCGCCGTAACCTAAGTCAAACCACGTTGAGAATATTCGCTTCTAGTAGCATCCAAAAACGCCTGCGGAGAAGCCCCCGTAAATGTGAGGTGGTATATCCCTGACCGATCGTAAGAAAAGCGAAAGAATATGTGCCTCTCCTGTTCTTCCACCGAACGCCCTTGTCTTGGACGCAACCATGCGGCGCAAGCAATGTGGCCTCCGAGCACCCCTGGACACGTCGCCGATTTTGATCCATCTATGACTCCAAGTTGTCCAGGTTTGGCAGGGGAATAGACCCGAGCCCCTCCTCAATGTCATGCATAATCGTCTCGTCGGCTGCGATGCTGTGCATAACCTCTTCCTGTGTAAAGCCCTGCCAGTAGGTGGGGTTGATTTGTGACGCCTTCTTGGTGCGGTAAATCTCCTGAGCGACGCCCTTGACTTGCCCCGAGGCTCTTCCCGCCGCCTTCCAGACTGACGAGAGTTTGTTCAAGGCGCCAATGTTCAATCGGATCTGCTGTCGCAACTCGTCGTCGTCGTGGGGGATGAAAAACAATGCCCACTTGCTCAGATGCACAATTGAGGAAAGCGTCACGACGCAGGTGAAGAAGTGCGTGTGTGAGAGCAACGGCACGCGGTGGGTAATCATCTTGCTGATCTCAGCAGCCGCGATGATCGTGTGGTTGGTGTGAGAATTGAACAGGTCTCCCGATGGAACCGGACGATGCGGCGCGCAAGACGTGACGGACCGGGTAGGGGATGAGTCGAGCTGTGACCACGGCTGATGGAGCATGATGGTGATTCTGCAAGGATTAGCTTCCCTGAAACTGTTGGAGAAGGGCCTGGGAGGCTCACGCATTGTTCATCATGTTTGCCTGGAAAATCATCTCATCAGACTGCAGCTTTTGGTCCAATGCGTCCTTCTTGGACGAAGGGAGATGAAGCCGCCAATTTGTGAGCAGAGCCTCGATCCGCGCCAGGTTTTCGTCATCGGGGCCGAATATGGGCGGGACTCTCATGAACTTGCCCAAGTTGCGGCCGGCCAAAATTCGATACGCAAACGAGGAAAACTCTCGGTCTTCACCGGAGAAGTCTTTGTCTTCCAAGTCAACTAGACTCATCGGTGGAGGAATATTCTGTGAAGAATCAGTCACTGGCTAGCGAATATTGCCTCATTTTTGATTGCACTCACGCCTGAGAGGTACTGGTGTTCTTCGCAGGGCAAAGCAGCATCGGCTGGGACGTCATAGAGAAGAAAGTTGGTCTGGCGATGGACACCAGCAACCATGCCATCCACCACAAACAAGTCCCACCAAGTTCTGCGCCAACTCTCCTCGAGGACCGGAATGCCGCGGCCGAATTGTGCCGCGTATTCTCGAGTGTTCAAGCCCAGTTCGAGTGCAACTCGCTCAGCTTCACCGAGCAAGTTGCGCGCCTTTTCTTGGTCGCAGTCGCCATCCAGTCCGACGATCAACAAAATCAGGGCTTGGACGAGGAAACCGTCTCGACTGGTAGTGGGGTCTTGGACGAGACGCAGGGCTTCATCCAGAAAACCCGCGCGAGCGGGACCGACTTCAAGGTACAGGGAGCCAATCCATCGGATGGCGGCCAAAAGAGGCTCGACGTTGGTATCTCTCATGATACGAAGGAGCCATTCTTTAGGAAGCACGAATGGGTGGCAGGCATGGAAGTGGGCATAGTAGGAGTCAAGACATCGTTCTGCGAGTGTTGGTACGGGCACCTGAGCGGGAACTCCATTTTGGGGCTGGCCGAGTGCCAAATGGTTCGAGTTGAAGCCAATTGCAGCACCGAAGGAGCGGTAGAGCTGCAGGTTCGTGAGATTGGGCGTTGCTGTGAAATTGGTGTTTGGAGTGTCTGGCAGGCCGACACCGGGATTAAAGGTGGCCATGGAATTCTGCATCGCGGCGGAAGTGCCATTGGCGCCAAGAAGCATTGGACAGCTGTCGGCACCATTGACGGTAGACGTGGGGGACGAAGATCGAGCTCTCTTATTGGGGTTGGCGGCCGTGTTCCTCCTCGGGCCCTTGTAGCCGCGACGGGAGGCGACATAGACGCATTCGGACTGTGAAGAGAGGCATCGCGAACAAGGGTTCTTGCCGTCACACTTGAGATGTTTGCCTCGCTGTTGCAGAGAGTTGGAGGTTAGCGATTGCTTGGACAACAGTTGAAGTTGAGAGTCCAGACTCAGGGGCCAATCGCAATGGACGGGCCACGAGCGGATGACTCGGCGGTGAAGAGGAGCAGGCGTGCGAGTAGGCGTATGTGTAGGGGACTGGAATGGAATGAAGGGACTTACGCAGGCGAGACATGCAGCTGGAACAGCGACGACGGGCGCTTGGCCCTGGTTGCTGGTCGCCGAGGACGGTGCGTTGGGGGAGTCGCCGTCGCTCGGTGAGGTCGAGTCGGCGACCATGCTCAAATTGTTCGGCGATCCATTGCTGTGGACGCTGCCCGGAGGCGGGGGGACTTCGGGGGACAAGGAAGTCTGCATTTGGATGATGCGTTCGCCCGATTGCCGCGGACACGGAACCGACGACCGGGGAAGATGGACAGATCAATTGGGTCGAGACCGATGTTGCGTGTAATTGAGTAGATGTTGTGTCTCGCGGGAGGATTGAGGAGGGTGGTTGCAGGAGGAGAAGATGTTCGTGGTTGGCGGTGACCCAAGGCCAAGGCAGACAGTATTTAATCAGTACCTCACCTCATACGTGCTGTGCTCGTGCTTGCCCCGAAAGGAACGCGACCTGGACCAAACAACCCCGACCCAGTTGCTCAGGTTCTGAAGCAAACAAGCTGGAGCTCGAGGGTGCTGCGGTGCTGTGGTGCTGTGCACGGTTATGATGGGTTGAACCCGTCAAAAATACCCCTCCACCTAGAACAGGGGTCTGCCGATTGTGTCAATCAGGGCTGGGTGGCTGAGATATTGGACGTGCGCCCCAAGCTAAGCTGTTTTCTCCTTTGTTGGATTTGTTTGTCGTGGGACTGGCGGATGAAGGTGTTGATATGGCTTGCGCCGGCGATCAATCTTGGTGTTACCACGGCCTGAATCGACCGAGGAAGTGGCGCAGTGATGGCCTATGAGTGGAGAACGGAATCGGGAGAAGCGGCGTCTGGATCGCCGGGGAAAAGATGGTAATGAGCCGCCGTTGAGGCAAGTATCGATGGATTTCCGTTCTGCTGTCGGTCGCGAAGAGTTGCGGTCAATGCCTTTAATATCATCGTGTGATCCTCAGAGAGCCAGCCACCCGCCAAGACCAGATGGAAATATGAGTCTTCCATTGCTTGATGTAACCACAGCTAACGGCAAACCAGACGGCGGTTCTCGGATGGCACTTTCACCAGTATTATCTCACGGGCGCGGGTAGGATGTCTACGCGGATATCGGAGGGTCCAGGACGGGCATTGCCGATGCATTGATGTTCCCCCTTCAGCCCTACAACGGACAATAGACCAGGGCATTGACAAATCGCCGGAGAGATTATTCCCGTCTCGATTACTTGCAGCGTTAAGGTTCTGCTGGTGCCACGCGACGAGTCGGGCTACGAGAGACAAAAAGCGAGTACGTCACCTCGCCTTCGCGTGCCTCGCAACTTTGATTCTTTAGAATTCTGTTCCATTGGTTGATACGGTTCTATCGGCTTCATCTTGAAAGCAGAGACCGTTTCGACATCTGTGAGCAGAGGGTGTAGAGCTCTAGCCACCCCGCGGGCTTTGGGATCGTGCGGTGATCTGTCCTAGATGACTTGCCAGGTCAGGCATGAATTCAAGGTTGATGGTGTCGGGATGCCCCGGACCCGGGAGCGTGGAGGAAGCAGGTCCACGAACGAGCCCCTTGGAAATTATTCCCCTCTAATTTGCGCGGTGTATGGCTTAGATAAGCAGACCTCTCAGCGGCAGCCACGGCTGTCGGTCGGTGCCGGTCACTCGGATTCAACTTGCCTTGATCAGATAGCCGTTGACTTGTGGAATTGGTCAACCAAAAGCCATCGTCTGTGGCATCCAATGAGGCTATTCCCACATCTTCGGCTGTCGTCTCATGCAATGTTCTTTCTGTTCCCTTAGTCTTTGCAGACTTGGTCGGAAGGAACCACTAAACGATTCTGCCCGTTACACCCCACTCGACTCCTCTCCAGCTGTTGTCAGTTTCCTCAACTTCGCATCTGCATCTATCAGACGCTGCTGTCGTTCAGGGCCTGTACCGTACCGAGGAATACTCGATCGTTCACGATTATGACGACGTTCGGATTTCGACGCCCAATGCCAGCCATTTTTCGGCGATAGCCCATGATGGAAAGCTCATGACTATCACGTCTTGGGGCAGATTGGGCCGCTGTAACGACTTGCTGCCCTGCAACCTCAGACTGTCAAGAACTCTCAAGAGAATGACGTCCACGCTGTTCCAAGGCTCGCCTGATTGGTCGCCAATCGAATCTTTCCTCCCTTTCAATTGAGTCTCACAATGGAAGTCACAGCTAGCCTTCGTGTCATCTCGCGCCAGGTGGTACCAACTGCCCTTATGCGCCTTTGGCGGGGTATGTCACAATCAGTCGACTGTAGACTGAACGGCATGGGATGCGACTTCGCATGGCCTGCTTACTCGCAAAGGACGGTTGAGAGGATTCAACGACTCGCAGATTCGCGTCCACTCGGTGTCAGCAGCCACAGCGCTCAAAAGACAGCAGAGACCACCATGGATCCCGTCTCAGCTGCCGGCTTGGCCATTGGCGCCGCCTCAATCGGACTCCAAGTCTACACGAGTTGCATACAGGGTACATTTCCTGGCCTCCCTTCAAACCCATTGGACATCCGAATACTAACCTGACGCAGGAATTCAGTTGCTCATCACGGCCAGAAACTTTCCTGAAGACTGCAAGTTCCTGAACTTGAGGCTGCGCATGGAGCAACAAAGACTGTTTGCCTGGAGTGAGACATCTGGTCTGCTCGACCTGGACGGCAACAAGAAGGATAAGATTCTTGAATCAAACACCTTCATCCTGCATCGAACCACTGTCCTCGACTTGTTGATGCAGGTGCAATGTCTCTTCAAAGAGTTCGAGGAACACCAGCAACGCAACGAACGACTGAAGCCCACGCCAGATCGTGATTCGGTCCTCGAGAACCCGGAAAAGGATGCTGCCGCGGCAAATTTTCCTCTGCCTGAGAAGAGGAAGCACTTCATCAAGCGAGCTATGTCGAAGCTGAAGCAGCGATCCCAGGAGGGCTTTCTCATATTGAACTGGGTTTCTTTCGACAAGGCCGCTTTCGAACTTCTGCTATCACGGTTCTCAACTCTCAATGACAACATGACCGACATCCTTGATGCCCGCATGCAGGTCGAGATTCATCATACCGTACAGGACACAAATCGAGGCGTCCTGCAGCTGCACCACCGCATAGCTGATCTAGGTCGGCTGGTCATGGCGTTGAACGTGAAGTTGGACGCCAGCGTACCGCTGAATATCTCTACGATGTCCATGAGCCAAAGAACAGCCAACGCCGACGACCTTAAGCTCATATCCAAGTTAGCCAAGTTCAAGGCCTTCAACGAGTCGATGGATTCACCGAAACAGCCACCTTTGGATGAAGCGACAGCCATGTATCTTGAGCTCGGGAAGCCTGGTCAACGAGACAAACTTCTCTTGGATCGAACGATGTTTGAATTGGATGAAGAAGCCGAAGATCTGGACCAGCCGAGATGCGAAGCGACTCTTCGTGGCGTCGACGGCATCAGCAAGAGAGTGTGGATCGAGTGGAAGGAGTACGAACCTCAGACAGACAAGGAAGATTCGCCGTCGAAGCAAGTCATCATCGATAGAGTAGGCAAGCTCGCCGCACTACTGAACCACAACCCCAAGCCCGAGGCTTTCCGGACGCTGCACTGCCTGGGTTACTTCGACATGGCCGGAGCAGAGTCTGACATGGCAGGCGATGATGACATTTTGAACCGAAAGCTGGGTCTGGTTTTTGAACGGCCCAACGACGACGATCTCGACCCGTCATTGTCTCCGGTATCACTACGCGACCTCTTTCAAAGTGAGCGCAAACCCCGTGTCACCGATCGAGTCAACCTCGCACACGCCATCAGCAGCTGTCTGCTTTATCTGCATGCCGTGAACTGGCTGCATAAGGGCCTGCGTAGCCACAACATCGTCTTCTTCCGATCCAAGGACGGCCGAGTGGACTACGCAAAGCCCTATGTGACAGGCTTTGACTACTCACGCCCGGCTCGCAGCGGAGAAGAAACAGACATACCTGTGGACGACGGAGAGTGCAATCTGTACCGCCACCCCCAGGTGCAGCTGATGAACCCGGCAGAGAGGGAGCGCTTCCGCAAAAGCTTCGACATCTACAGTCTCGGTGTTCTCTTCGTGGAGCTCGCGCACTGGAAGCCAGTGGACACGGTATTGGGTTTCGACATCTATCGCAAGCCGAGTCTCGCGATCAGGGTCAGGGACGGTCTGCTCGAGGAGGATCAACTGGCGGAAGTCGGTGCGAGCTTGGGGGAGGTCTTCGAACAGGCGGCAAGAAGGTGTATCGCGGGAGGAGACCAGCTCGGCCTGGCAAACGGAGAAGATGAGACAGATGACACGGTTGCGTCGAAGCTTTCGATGAAATTTTACGAGGACGTGGTCCAAAGACTGTACGAAGTGCGCGTTTGAGGTCAGCCGGGAATTCGCAGACGAACTCGGCCAAGTCGAGAAGCCAACATGAAAACCATCGGCTGCACACAAGAAGACAATACTCTTCAACACAAACAAGAGCGATGAACTCCACGCAAGTTGGTACGTCCGCAAGTCGACTTGTCAAAATGGTCATGTTGTGGTGGAAGGGAGGGAAAAAAAAAAGGTGGGCGCAGCCGCTTTCGCCCAGCATCTCGATCAAGGCAACATCAGGCAACGAGGCAACCCATATCTCGTCCATAACGAGAAGCATCAAGAACAACGTCTTTTCTTCGATGGCAAGGCAGATTTCGAATGACTCGCCGACGCGATTTTCGATGCTATTTCGACTCTGTTGGTTTCAGGATGGCACCCGTGAGCGTTCTTCAGTGGACGAAGGACTGGCCGCAGACTCATGACCACCACCACGAGGACGGGAAACGGGCTGCATTCAGAAATCCATGCGACATTGGGATCTCAACGACCGTCTGCACGCACTTTCTGGGCGCTTAGCAAGCGGCGCAGTACGATACAAACGTTCAATGATCTAAGGTGTTCGCAGCAAAATCGTCACCGTCGGCCAAGGTCAGAAGCCCCCCTTAATGTTTCACGTATTTCTACACTTTGGCGGTGGCTTTCTTGCGTACTTGGTCACGGTTTTCTTCCACCACACGTTTGCAGTCACCCATGGTCTTCAAACATTTCTCGACTTTGAAGGAGAGTATGTGTTATGGCAGCAAATCAAGGCATGCAGCAAAACGACTGTCAACCCTATTTCTTGGCGAGCCCTCACGTCAACGTATTGTCGTCGTCCTCGTTCTCTGTAGAATTGAGCACATGATACGATGCATCCAACTTCCAGGTCATGATTCCTTGAAGTATCTTTGTGTGCAGGTCCCTATGAACGGCCTGCTCCCTCAGCCAAGGTCAGTTCGGCCTTCCACGACGGTACCGCTGTCTGCTTGGGAGGCCCACGGCTCATGCAGGTGGCTTCGTTTGATGTGTCTCGCAATTTGCTCTTCTTGAACGTATTCTTGACCAGAAGGCAGCAAGTAAAGCGGACTAGCTTCTCATGTTGGCTTCTCACCTTACTTTCGCAGCTTAATTTTGCAGCTTAGTTTTGCAGCTTAGTTTCGCAGCTTAGTTTCGCAGCGTTGCGCACCTTGGCTTCTCACCTTACTTACTTTCGCACTTTACTTTCGCACTTTACTTTCGCACTTTACTTTCGCACCTTGCCTTCTCACCTTAGTTGCGCAGCTTGGCTTTGCACCTCAGCTTCGCACCTTACTTTCGCACCTTGGCCTCGTATCTTAGTTTCTCACCTTAGTTTTTCATCTTGGCTTCTCATCTTGGGACCATCCTAGGTCCAGCTGTGGTGTCCCTCGAGTTCGCTCTTACTTGTCAAGAAATCAGGTCCTCCCTACAACGACCATGAACTTACCGCCACCAAGGCATCTTCCAGAGAACGTCGGTTATTCACCTGGGCGATGTCCACCTCACCAGGCCCGCCGGATCCCGCTTCATGACTTGAGGTGGTGATGGCTTGGGTTCGCAGCTCATCTCTCCTCTTTCTTTTTCCACCTTCTCTCCTTCTCCTGCTCATGTGGCTCGCAATCTCCCACATCCCACCTTGCTGCCTGGTCTTAGGGTCGCCAAACATTCCGACAGGACTTTCGTCCTGCCTTTCCTGTTCCCAAACACGCAGACAAGGGCAGCCTGTGATGCCACTGGACGTGTACTCTCAGGACGTGTGCTCTCAGGGGATCTGATGTACACTCCCTAAAGGTGATGACTCCTCGACACCCTTTTGCGGCCCTCATGCCTCGTTCACCGCTTCAGATGTGACGAGGTACGGATAATGGGATGCGCAAGTCAATTTCGCAACGCTGCGGAAGAAGCCAGCGTGCATCCGTCATCCCAAACTGCACCTCCATCCCCTGGACGGGCAGGGTAAAGACCCATAGCCCTCTTCTCCTGGCAGAAGTTCCTGGAAGAAGCACTTGGAATGACCTTGCTTCTCGCGGGCCAGCTCGCCATTCATGGCAATGAGGCCCTCGCCACCCTTTTTCTAAGGACCTCCCCCGGAACACCGGCGGGCTCACTGGCCCTTGCTCTTTTTCACACACACACTTCGACCACCCCAGAATCTCAAAGATGGGAGCCGTTTTGTCGAGACTTTGCAGCCTCCGTCTGCTGAGCAGTCGGCTCCTGGTCATTTGGACAAGATTTCCGTCCACGGTGCCTGCCGGCCACCGGTAATGTCAGCTAGAGCGTGAGGTGGATGTATCATACCCCTTTCCCCCTTCTTTCCTTCCTTTTTTTCCCTCCTTCCCTCGCCCTCACCAGCCAACCGCCAAATCTCGTCATTTTTTCATTTCCACCCTCCCAACGCCCGCCATCGCCGCCGGTTTTGTGTGCCTGGAACATTCCTTGTATGTTTCCCGTCCAGGTTCATCCTTCGATCCCTCCTTCGTCGAGATCAGCCTGGTTCGAGCACTCTTCGGGCGGGGAGACAGCCCAGGCAGTGCATTGGGGGCGCCCCATATCGTGTGTACGGCTCGGTCCTGGCTTCGGGCCGCATGAGACAGGTTCGATCTATCCGTGGAATCAGGCCTTTTGTTGGCCTCAAGTGCTTGCTTCCAACCGATCACGCCCCTTAGAGGCAAGTCAGTCCAGTGCGCGTCGGGACTGCACCGTCTTGGATGGACTTGATCGCAGCTGGCGTCTTACCCTACCGCCTGGCAGATCTTGTCCTCTCTCATTCCCCAACCAGCCTGTAGCAAGTGTTATCATCATGGCTCATCTGACGTTGTGGCTGCTTGTCTCAACGTCACGCCAGCCTCCTGGCCTGCACTGCAACCATGATGACTCCCCTGAACTTCCCAATATCGTGCATTTACAGTGAGACATCGCCAACGACTCAACGGTTCCGCAATAGGATCAATGGTCGACTTCGACAGGTTGCCAGGCTTCCCAATGACCACATCCTGTTCGGCTGGGAGCGGCATTGGAGGCTGACTGGACCATGCTGTGCAGCTATTGGCAAGGAAAGGGGGCGCGTCAGGAAGATGCAGCTGCGTTCATCAGTGAAGGGGTACCGGGCTAAGTAGCTCCTTCACACCGTTTTGCTTTCTTTGCCATGTACCAAGCTCACAAGCTTCATCCCATGATGGTGTTCTGGGGCGACTTCGACATTGCTGGAGCCAAACGTGCCCCCTTTCCCGCGGGTGCCTTCCGGCTCCCAGAGCATCCTCCGTGGTCCAGTCCATTTGGCTCTTTGCGCAGACTCCGAGTCTGAGCCCTGTTCGGCCAGTCGACTTTTCTCCTTGTTGGTCTCCTTGTTGCAGTACATCATCATCAGGCTGCGGCTGTAAAATTTTGCTTCCCTGCCCTGGCAAGGCAACTTCATCACTATGTCAGTGCGTCTTCGTGCAGGATTCCACAACGCTTTACCCACACCGCTCGCAAAGACCTTCGAAGGCAGCCAACTGGTCTTGGATGAGGGTACTGGGGTCGTAACGGAAAGAAGTTGCTGCTATGCCACGTCTTGACGGGACAACCCTCCCCTGGCTCCCGCTTTCTCAACACACCACAATCATCACCGCCGCCGCCGCCGCCGCCGCCGCTGCCGGCTCGCGTCTCGATACCGCACAGAATCAATGCTTTCAAGTTGAGATGTGATGTGAGTCTCGGAACTCCCCCGCGGCCTTCATCACGGACCGGTCGACATCCAGTCACCTGAACATCGACCCCTATCTGTCGCCATATCATTCAGCGTAATTCAACTGAAACTTCTTGGCTTGGAGTTGACCTATTACGAAAGACACATGCAGTTCAGCACTACCATATTGAGTCTTCTCAGCCAATCGCCAGGCAACTCATCTAACTGCTTCTGAGCTGTTCCTTGATACTGCCACCAAGCCCCTTGACAGAGTCAAACTCGGATGAGGGTCAAGGCAGTCCCCAGAGGAGATTGCTATTCACCTTCCCGTGACTAGTCGAAAGGTACTGCTCTGATGTAGCCAGCCTTGTCTTATTGTCCAGCACCCGCAACTTTTCAAAGCGATGGGCGACGTTTCAATACGAGGTTGATCAGGATATTGGTCAAGTCCAGCAAGGAGCCCGGATGCCGCAACTTCTTTGCTCGCGTTCTCGCTTATTTTTCTGGGTTCAACACCGCGGAAACAAGGGTATTTTGCTTTTTCAGATCCTGCCAAAATGGCAGAGGCAACATGAACTCCACACAACCACGTCCAACCGCAACATGTATCTACGGTCGCAATGCGAGGCCTCGTCGGGTTCTGGAAACAACCGCCCCGGCCCGCACCCCCCTTTTCTCTTCGGGGTTGCTGCATGCTGAAGGTACAGTTGTTGGTTTGGTCTGGCGGCTGCGGCCAACATGCCGCAGCGGTGCCCCCCGCTTGGCATGACGGTTGCCTTCTTTGCTCCAACCCGGGACTTGGAGACTCTGGATTTGGAAACAAGGCGCCCGGAAGCAATCTTAACAGGATCAAATTTTCATCGCCCCCTGTCCGCCCTGGAACGACGAGCGGGCAACAGAGGACGGCCGCTTCGTCCGCTGGCGCGGAGACAAGCTCCCTGCCCGCCCTTTTTACACTTTACAGAGTAATTCAGAAGAAATTTTACATGGGTGAATCCTCAGCGGCGCGCGATCTCGACACAAGCGCTGGCGGACAAGGGTTGCTGGAGATCCATCCATTGCCGCTTCCCGGCTGCCATCAATTTACAAGCCAGGCCAAATGGCCATTAGTCATACGGGAATAGAGTGGTTCTTCTCGACAAGTTGGCCTAGCATGTTCGGCTCTGCCCTGAGACCGCGAAAAACGAGCGACCCTCCTAAGGATCAGTACTCCAATATGTCCGTCCTGTAGGTCGGGCTTGAGACGTCACGAGCGACTTGATGTGGTCTCCTTTCCGCCAACGTGTTTTGTATTCAAACCCCTTCCTCGTGAAACGAGGAAAAGAAGTGAAGCTATAGTCTATACTAAAGGGGACCAGCCCATGTCTTTCGTGTTTCTATCTATTGTACTGAATCCTGTTTTTTTGGTATCTGATTTTGTCCATTTACGCCGCGCCAGTTGTCCCAGATTGTCCCAGTGGTTTCTCAAAGCTCTCCATACTAAAACATACATATTTTATCCCCTGTTGCCGTTGCCCATCTCTCGTTTCCGTTGGTGTTGTGGAGCTTCCTCCTCATAGACTTCCATGCCGCGCCGTTGTGAAGCAGCTGGCAGCTCAAGCCGTTCACATGCGGAAGTTCTTGGTCTTGCCAACGTGGTAGACGGTCTTGACAGTCCCAATGTTGCCAATGATGGAGATGTTCAGGTTGTTGGGGCCAAATCTAGAGCTGCCTTCCGCTTCATTGTCAGACTCGGGGGTGCTCGGGGCGCTGTAGTCGGTATCGCCCTCGGTGCTGGGGACGATAGTCTCCTGCTCGTGGCTTGTAGTCTGGGGATGGCCGTTTCCGGGCCCATCGAGCGACTCCTCGACTGCCGTATTGTTGCCTTCGACACTGGCAGTGGTGGTGGTGATCTGCTCGTTGGTTGGGGTTCCAGGTTGGCCGCTTTCGGACCCGGCAGTGGGCCCGACAGGTTTGATATTGTTGTCGTGGTGGTTTTGGGGCTCTGGCATGGGAGTCAGGACCGGGCATGTTCCACCTTCGCCCTGGTGCTGACGAAGCGACGCTCGTTGAGCGGACCACCACGGGCACCTGTCGCATATGACTATGGAGCTTTGGACTGCCATGTCGACTTTGGAAGGCGTGTAAGCGGTAGAGGGATGTGTGAAGTGAGATGAGTATAGAATGGTCCAGTCAATAACGAGGTAGATGAGTTGAGTGTGATGATGGAAGCTTGTCGGTGGTCAACCACGCGATGGGAGGTCTGCTTTTATACTCGTCGTGGCGAGCCATCAGATGATTCCGAGGCCAGTGCTCAGGATTTTCACAGATCATGAGGTGAGAGGAGCACGGCATCGGCGCGTCGCCTCAAGCACGCGCACCGCGCTTGAATCCTGTTGTCTTCTGTACGAACAAAATTGTTACCACCACACGCGCGGAATGGTTTCTGATCAGACTTGCCTCCCCCCAGTCCCCATCACCATACCGGTATCCGCATCTGCCTGACCCCAGCAAATTGCAACCCCACAACGGCACGCCGTGGACTACGCCGGCATGCCTGTAAAGAGCGGAGATGCTGTTCAACGAATGCCTTGAGTATGACAGGTGATCGGGCCCTCACAGAGCATAGAAGAAGGCTGAAGATCAAGGAATTGCAGAAGCCTTTTCAATTTTCATTCCGGGACTTCAACCTCTACGCAGCTCGATTCTACAATGCTTCGAGCACCAAACTTCCGCACAGAACTGTGAGCTTGTAATGCCTCTTTCTCTTGCCTACTGTAGCTAACAATCACACTTTGGACCACCCAATGTCAGTGACTAGACTATGAGCTCAAAGTCAGCCAAGCTTAGATTGGTGGTTCACAGAGACAATAACGACAAAAATACCAACGAACGTGAGGCAACCATGCGCTTGCTTGGAGGAGGTTGGCAAAAGCAAAACTCTTTCTCACCAGCTTGGATGAGAGAGAGATTGAGAGGGTGGGGAACTCTGACAGCTGGAGGCCATACAAATTGAGGTCCCCTGTCGCATTAGGGCTCCGGGAGACCGGTTCAGCATGCAACGGCTGCGCGGTTACAGCTCCCCCGGGAACTCAAAACCAGCAGCCGAGGCAGTTGACGCAGTAACTGGCCAGGGCAACAACAAGGATTCTCAAAGACATTGTACTTGGGTGTGGCCACAGCCGTCCCGTTTGGGTTCGACAATTTGCCGTGTTGTAGATTGACGATGGCTCGATCTGTGCCTGTCTCAAGAACAGCGTGTGAGAAAGTTTTCTACGATCGGACTCTGTTGACAATGTTAGGCTCAATGCATGTGCAGATTGACCAATCCACTCAACATTTCAGCTGATAGGTATATTAAAAGCCGTTGGAAACTGGCAACAGCCAGAGACCGCCTTTCGTCCTCGAATCTTGTCTACGTAGCGCAGACTTTTTCTATTGGCGGACAGGGGATGTGGAAAAAGAAAGCAAATGGTCCCTTCGTTAAGACTTCTTGCTTATCCATCCGCCCATCCATCCATCCATCCATTCATTCCACTCAGCCCATTCAGTCCATTCAGTCCATCCACTCATCCATTCAGTCCCTCCAGTCCCTCCAGTCCCTCCAGTCCCCTCCAGTCCCCTCCAGTCCCCTCCAGTCCCCTCCAGTCCCTCCAGTCCCTCCAGTTCCAGTCCCCCTAGTCCCTCCAGTCACTCCAGTTCCAGTCCCTCCAGTCACTCCAGTTCCAGT